GGTCGATTACTATACCCAGCTCATTGAATGGCAATGACGATGACACAAGTTACAACCCGTAATCCGTATTTACATTCAGAATTGAGTTAAGTCATTTTCCGGTACGAGATTACAGTTAGATCAGCAGGTTTGTACGTCTCGAAGTATAAGTAACTTGCCTATAATTATTATTATTTCGGTTTGTTCGGTTCGGTTCGACGAAAAGAAAATCGTAGTTCGGTTTGGTTCTGCCAAAAATTCCTGAATAAGTTGTTTCCTACATCTGAGGCCGTCCGTTTACATGCTGAAATTTGTATAGTCCAAGAGTAATCAAACACATAATATGAACAATTGACCAACATTGCAGTGAGTTAGGTCATAATACTATACATGAAAATATTAATAACGTAATATTATTCAACAATTTACACTTCTTTTGTTTTCAGTAACTGTTTACAGTCAATGTGGTTACACAATACACATTTCCCTTACTCCTTTACCTGTAAAGTTGTTTAGTCTTGTTATAGTAGTGATCCTCTCAAGAAACTTCGTAAAACTTGTCCACCACCATCTTATCATGTCGAAAGAAGAGCCGAGTCAGTCTACCGAGGAAAACTTCGGCGATGGTAAAACTGCACAGCAAGTATTCACGTTCTCTTGGTTTTCTTTGGGACTCCTCATTCTCTTCTTTTGCCTTTGGTTGCTGTTGAAGATGTGTCTCCCTCTCTGCAGAAAAAGCATCAATTCTCAAATAAGTCCGGACAGACGACAGAAGACTGGGGAAATTTATTCGAACAGTCAACCGAAGGAGGCAGAATTTTGATAATTATCAGGCTCAGCTGAGAAAACTGAGAATTTGTGATACCCAGGGTCCGTGTGTGTGAACGACTGCTTTATTACGATTATTTCAGATAATAGCTTTGGTTTAACTTTCAAAGGAGTGCGTAAAAAGCTGTTTACGAATTACGTTATAATATAAAAAGGGTCAGGGACTATACGTAATTTGTTATAAGGATGGCTTGCAGATTGTCGTGTGTCTCAACTCTAAAGATTGTAGAACTTTTCACGGCTGACGGATCCCAGTATTCCTCGAAGTAAGGGAAATGTCCATTTTAAAGTTGAAACTAATGATAAGCAGCCTGTTCTAATCTAATTGTGATATATGCCCCATCCACATGTAATGAAATGAAATGAAATGAAATGAAATAATGTGCTTGTATACCGCTCATATGGTTAGCAACTGACACAAGTGCCAGGTACTAACCATGTTCTAAAGGGTAAGGTGAAAATATCCAGCAACAAACAACTAATATTATACAAATTATACAATATGTGCCCCTCTCTTCAATGAGGGTAAGGTATTGAATATAGTTGGTAGTGAAGATTAAGGTAACGTAATAAAACAAACATAGTCATCGCCGTTTAAAAACTTTTTAAGTTTCGCCCAGACGTTTATCAGTCATCAAGATGAAGTATTTATCATTTCCAACAAGGCGGGAATGCACAAAATGTCCACCAGTTCTGCAACTTTGCCAGGGTGATGAATATAATGCTACAATACAACCTCACAGACTGTGAGTTTAACTTATCATCGAATGTTTCTTTATTTGTATAGTTGTTTGTATAGTTCTGGTATAGCTACCCTCTTATTCTCTAAATATACCTCGTAAGACTTTTCCAACACCATCATATCATGCCGGAAGAAGAGCTGAACCAGACTGCAGAGAATCATAACCAGGAAGGCATAACTCTTCACAAAGTATTCATGGTATCCTTCTTCGTTTTGGGAATCCTCGGTTTTTTGTTTTGGGCGTTGTTGAGGATTTTTCCCCCTCTATGCAGAGATGCTTCGGTGAAACAATTTCCGGACAGACAGCTGAAGACTGGAGAAATTTACCCGGAAATAGTTGTAAACAAGCAGAGGATGAAAAGTAACGCAGTTTTTTTACATGCACTTGAATAGTATTTAGTAGGGACTGGAATGTTTAGACTAAACGCTAAAAGCATTTATCCGAACAGAATGCGAAAGACTGGGAAATTTCGGACACATAATATCTAAAAAGTGGGGAAGTTTAATATTCGGTATCCGGCTGTAAGAACATTTGTTTTGGCTTCAATTCTTTTACTTGATGGTATACTAAAGTTGGCGCTGTTTTGTTGGATGAAATGTTTATAAAGTTTTTAATGATTTGAGACAAACTTGAATTTGTGTATCAAAATAATAATATAATTTCTTTGACCATCTATTTTGTGTTATTAAGGCTTAGTTGTAGTGCATGTACGGAACGTTCACTAAAAATGTTCTGTACATATGTTCACTAAAACGCATCTCACGTTCTGAACGTTATGGATAAATTACTAGTAGTGTTCAGTAGGATTTACGTACTCTAGTTCGACACGCACTATAGTTCGAAAAATTAAATTCGCCAGATATCACCCCTGTCGTACTTCGGTACGTGTCGAACTAGAGTCCAGGTAGCGTACTCTAGTCCGACAAATAGTTTCTGCTTATGATCCAATGGCTATTGCTGGGTCCTCATCATAGGATCACAGGGTTCAATGGCAGATACAAATATTTTCTGACATCTAGCAACCATGTGCGGTTATAAATTCCAGAACCTTTCAGTATAGTTTTAATTCTCCTGTTTGCCACTCAGTTCTGGTCTAGTTAACAGGGAAATAGATTGATATCCGACTGATTTCGATTCAGCTGCCAAATCTCTAGACCGGTACTCGGTTACTAGTCGTTTGTGATGATATAAAGTGTGGTACGTGGTAGATATTTATAAAGCGTACTTTACAATCTAGATCTATAAAACGGAGTACGAGTTATTACGTTAGTCTTTTATCTCTCCGCTAAGTCTACAATTCTGCTAGCAAACAATTGAATTATGAGTATGAGGACAATTAAATGTTTATAGACATGGATTATAGAGATTACATTCACACATAATTGAACAGCATGAGACTAGTGGAAAACAAACAAACGAATAGATTACAAGCTCGTAAAGGATCGTTGCTTGAGATCGGAGATTTCAAAACTCTAGTTCGACAGTCAAAGTTATCTTGTCGAACTTTAGTACGTGTCGAACTTGAATCCAGGTAGCGTGCTTTGGTTCGACAGAGTCGAACCTTAGGGTTTGTCGAGCTAGAGTCCGTGTCGAACTTGAATACGTGTACCTTCAGTAGCATAAATACTACTACAATACAATACAATACAAATTGATAATTATCAGTTGGAGAAATTGAGATTTCAAAAAGATTATTTTCATGAATTTTTGTTTTTGATAATCACTGACGTTCACTAACGTTCAATAACGTTCACTACAAAGTGACTGGAACGTGCGTTCAATACGTCAAAATCCACCGTTCACTACAACTAAGTATTAAGGACAGTGTATCACTCGTGTATTCATTTTTTTATGTCACACTTTATTTTACTTCGGTCATTCCAACAGCCACATTGTTACACATTGTGTAACTTGTGTATTAAATACACAAGTGTTACCATCCGATTACAGGAAGCCGAAGGATAATACATTGGGCCAGTGACAGTTAAGGGGGCCGGGGGGAGGGGGGGGGGGGCTTTTGGTCCCATGGAAAAATATTGTTCCTAGCCAAAATTATCGCCAGTCAAAGGTCAGCGCTTAAATGTGTAATTGAATTGCGCGAGCGATTTTCAATCGCGAGCCCTGACAATCGAGTGTATCTTCTCCTACATTTTTTGAGCAATCACCCTGAAACTTTCAGGATATGTTCTATGGATCATTTAGAAGATATCTGTTGAGCCGAATTTTGAGATAGGCCTTAGAAGATTTTTTATTCAATTTTGAAAATCTTGGACCTAATTTTTTTTTCAGATATCACTCCCCTCTTTCAGAAACAACTATGAAATCAATTTCATCGCGTGAAATCGATACAGGAAGATCGCTCTAATTTGTTGGATTGCGGCAAACTGTCAGACACTGCAATAGAAACAGTGTTAAAATGCACATTTTTATTCATGTGCTGTGGCGCTAATTTAATTGATAAAATCTTCAAATTAATGACACTTGATAGATTTGACTTTTATCTTTCGACCATTGTTGTTGTATAATGTGCATAATATACACAAGCGTCAAATAATTGTCTTATAAGTTTACTAGTAGAAGCTCTTACGGCCATTTTCTGCTCGATACGCTAGGGACTCCAGAATCCAGATACACCTTTCTAGACGTACTTTTGACCGTAGAATTAATTTTGAATTTTTGAGCAAGTTAATTTCGTTGGCATATCAGCAAAATTTGCATGAAGATAGCTGAAACACAGCCGCACATGATGGCATTAAAATTAAGCTATTATTCCAGGATTTCGTGCTACATTCAAGTTTCATGAAGTGAGCTGCCTTTAATTGCTTGTAGGAACTAGATTAATCGCTGTACACCAAATTAAGGAAGATATGTGAAATATAATGGTTTATATCCGATGGTAATCTTGTCGGTAAAAAAAAAAACAACCAACAGAAAACTTGTTATGGACGATTAAAATCAGGTGTATTTACACATAGGTACCGTATATGATATACTGTCACCTTGCCGCAACATGGAAAAAAAATGTCCCGTATTATCTCCGTTTGTGAAGCAATTATGACGGAGCTATTTTGGGATTGCGGCAAAATTACCAAGCCTAGCTCACTACCCAAGTTTCGAGTATTTTCGAAGAAGTCGCAAATTTACACTTCATGATCGCTTTAAGGTAGTGTGTACCAAACTGTCTTCGACCGAGACTTTGCTGCAATGGGCAGCTCCTCATTTAACCCTCACACCTAATTTCTCGAGTATTCGGCTGAGTGGACCGGTGGGGGCTGCATAGATCACTCGGAATCCTTAGCTGAGCGTCAACGACGGTCACCCCATGGCTGGTAGCTGGGAATTGAACTTGGTACCTCGCGATTAAGAAGCAGGAAAATTGTAAAATAGAGCAGATCTCAGATTATTCTGAAATCAGTCTAAACCGTTTTTAATCTTCACCATTTTTTTCAGGTGCCAACTACGGGGTGTCAGTGGTGTACTTTACCGAGATAGTTCCTATGAAACACCGCTCATCTGCCATGCTGGGCATGGAGCTCTTTTGGACAGTAGGTACGTCCATTGTTTGTTATAAAGTTGAGCTATGTGAGGAATCAGATATATATAATATATTTAGACGAATGGTGCTGCTCATAATAACACTCCGCATCAGAGAATACTTTAACAATTAACATGTATAGTGTATCTAGTGAATAATAGCATATTATAGCACTATAATAGAATACTAGTATTCGCTTACAGTAAGACACTACACCGTCTAAATCTCATACCGAGATGTTATATTCACAGAACAATCCCTCCCAGACTATAGAATACTCAGTTTATACCATATAAGGCTATCGGTTCATCCCCCGACTTTCGCCGCCTAAATACAGAGTTGTAGCCATCTCATATTAGATCCGTAATTTTTCTGCTGCTATTATGAAGGCCAGATCAGTCGCTTTTAGATTTGATTGAAAGTCAGAAAAAATATCTTTGATGATTCAATAAACATTAATAAAACAAAAAACTTAATTTTCTGTTGATTTATTGAAGTTGTACAATTAATTCGATTAATTACTCAATTAATCGAAGAGTAGGTACTGTAACCTAAAGTAATGTACAGTTTACAAACTGTTCTAACTACAAGTACAGATCAGTAGCAGCTTCTTGCTTCTCTGAAGCACATGATAGCCTTGCAGCAAGTCTTCTTCTCCCTTTTTCCGCCCGTCAGCCTTTTACAGTGATGACTGTATGTAGCACAACTACCCGAATCTGAAATCCATTTCGTATGATGAATTATATCAACAGTCTCTAAGGTGAACAAATCAGTAAGTTAGACCATAAATATATGAAAATATGTATTCTGTACGCATCTGAACATCACTGTTGAAGACACGCCAGTGCAGCAAGTTAGTGATTTTACGTACTTAGGTACAATTATTTCCAGCGACGGTACTATCGACCGTGAGTTGTCAGCTAGGATTCAGAAAGCTTCCGGAGCCTTCAATCAACTGAGTAATATATGGAAAAACCGCAACATCCAGTCTTATACAAAGATCAGGATTTATAAGGCAGCGGTTTTGACAATATTGTTATATGGTAGTGAGGTTTGGAACACAACCAAAAAGCAGCTACATCGCTTTGAGGTGTTCCATCAGCGTTGCTTGAGGAGAATACTTAGGATAAGATGGCTCGATCGGGTTAGAAACACTGAAGTGCTGGAGCGTGCAAAGATAAATCCAGTAGAGACGTACATAGGAGCAAACCGCCTGCGTTGGTTTGGCCATGTCACCAGAATGCCAGACACTAGGCTTCCTAAGTACCTGCTTAACTGGACCCCTGCCCATGGGAGAAGATCTAGGGGCCGTCCAAGAAAGAACTGGAGGAAATGTTTGCTGGAAGATGCTGCAGCGTTTACAGGAAACACTGACATAGACCTAGAAGGAGCGAGCGAGATGGCTAGTGACCGCAAACTTTGGAGGGAGATGATACGTCACAAACGGGAGTTCATTGGTGCAGGCCACTCGAATGATTGAGGAGACCTAATCAAGTACAAGTACACGCATAAATTCCATACTTTTATTAAATCAATTTAAAATTTACAAACCTTGGGAACATGCCAAATAAAATGTGACGCGTAAAAGAAACAATGAAATTATATTTACAGTTAAGGCGATCAGGACATTCTCTCAGGTTGTAGGCATTTGCAAGACAAGAGCAAGTCATTTGGTTATACTCCACTCCCGAACATGTTTGTAGTATACCCTCCTTTACTTTCACATTCATGATATCCTCATTAACTGCAAATTCCTCAACTTTTAGTTCAAGACTTGAATCATATGTTTGATAACGTAATTCCTTAGCCTCTGAAACTGAGTAAAAATATTAATATTTTTTAGTATATGATAGAGATACACTAATGATTTGTACTATAATGATGATCAATTAGAAGCAGATACCCACCCACGTCCCACGCCATCTAATCCATAACTAGAAAACAGAGATGTGTAAAGAGGATTACAAAATAACATTAGTTCCATAATGTCATTATGGAACTACTGTACTTACTAGAGGTTATAGCAACAAGGATTGCAACCAGCGTGATCAATGAACGCATCTGTATTCCCGAGCTAAGAGAACCCTAAACAGGAATTAAACAGGAATTAAACATTAAATTGTCATAGGGAGCACTAACACTCCCGTTTACATAGCGGTATTTCGATGGCAAAAATATTCTCGCCATCTATATTGCAGAATCCAGAACTGAGCAATGAGTATCATCAAGTAACACTTCGAAAAGTATTCCGACAATTTTAACAATTGACTTAAGTAATCCAATTACGTTAATGGCACTTAAGACTCACATATCAAGCAAATTAAATTCGTGCGTGTATGTGAAATAATCTTTAATGACTTTTACCGTACATTTGTAATACGCGATTAAATCTTCAAATTCGTGATTAAACTAAATACGAATTGGACAAATGAAGGCAGCTCAAATACACACACTTCAAATAATAGCCTTAGTAGCCTCTTTTGATGAGGAATTCATTGTTACTTTTGGCTATCAAATTTCATGTTTAAATGACCAAGCATTTTCGTGGGGCGTGGGCGTGACAGCATGAAATTTGACAACATTAAATATTTTCCTGCCAATTTCAGTTCAAGAACGCCTCATGATCATGTAGCATTAAATTAGTTATCGGATTATTATTAGGCACGCCCTCTTATCTACGTTGCAAAAGAGTGCCGAATTTAACTGTTATTCACCCTACTTACTATGACAAAAGAAAACAAAAAGTGTTAAGGAAAAAACCAAATAATGAAATTTTTACTGTTCTCAATAAGTAAAGTCATAATTTACTTCACCATGAAAAAATAACAGTCTCAATCAGATTTCAAAGTTCGCACAGTTTTATCCTAGACATGCAGTTGAAACTTCAAGTACAGATCAGTAGCAGTTCCGTGCTTCTCTGTAGCACATGATAGCCTTGCAGCAAGTCTTCTTCTCCCTTTTTCCGCCCGTCAGCCTTTTACAGTGATGACTGTATGTAGCACAACCACCCGAATCTGAAATCCATTTCGTATGATGAATTATATCAACAGTAACTAAGGTGAACAAATCAGTAAGTTAGACCATAAATATATGAAAATATGTATTCTGTACGCATAAATTCCATACTTTTATTAAATCAATTTAAAATTTACAAACCTTGGGAACATGCCAAATAAAATGTGACGCGTAAAAGAAACAATGAAATTATATTTACAGTTAAGGCGATCAGGACATTCTCTCAGGTTGTAGGCATTTGCAAGACAAGAGCAAGTCATTTGGTTATACTCCACTCCCGAACATGTTTGTAGTATACCCTCCTTTACTTTCACATTCATATCCTCATTAACTGCAAATTCCTCAACTTTTAGTTCAAGACTTGAATCATATGTTTGATAACTTAATTCCTTAGCCTCTGAAACTGAGTAAAAATATTAATATTTTTTAGTATATGATAGAGATACACTAATGATTTGAACTATAATGATGATCAATCAGAAGCAGATACCCACCCACGTCCCACGCCATCTAATCCATAACTAGAAAACAGAGATGTGTAAAGAGGATTACAAAATAACATAAGTTCCATAATCATGGAATGTCATTATGGAACTACTGTACTTACTAGAGGTTATAGCAACAAGGATTGCAACCAGCGTGATCAATGAACGCATCTGTATTCCCGAGCTAAGAGAACCCTTAACAGGAATTAAACAGGAATTAAACATTAAATTGTCATAGGGAGCACTAACACTCCCGTTTACATAGCGGTATTTCGATGGCAAAAGTATTCTCGCCATCTATATTGCAGAATCCAGAACTGAGCAATGAGCATCATCAAGAAACACTTCGAAAAGTATTCCGACAATTTTAACAATTGACTTAAGTAATCCAATTACGTTAATGGCACTTAAAACTCACATATCAAGCAAATTAAATTCGTGCGTGTATGTGAAATAATCTTTAATGACTTTTACCGTACAATTGTAATACGCGATTAAATCTTCAAATTCGTGATTAAACTAAATACGAATTGGACAAATGAAGGCAGCTCAAATACACACACTTCAAATAATAGCCTTAGTAGCCTCTTTTGATGAGGAATTCATTGTTACTTTTGGCTATCAAATTTCATGTTTAAATGACCAAGCATTTTCGTGGGGCGTGGGCGTGACAGCATGAAATTTGACAACATTAAATATTTTCCTGCCAATTTCAGTTCAAGAACGCCTCATGATCATGTAGCATTAAATTAGTTATCGGATTATTATTAGGCACGCCCTCTTATCTACGTTGCAAAAGAGTGCCGAATTTAACTGTTATTCACCCTACTTACTATGACAAAAGAAAACAAAAAGTGTTAAGGAAAAAACTAAATAATGAAATTTTTACTGTTCTCAATAAGTAAAGTCATAATTTACTTCACCATGAAAAAATAACAGTCTCAATCAGATTTCAAAGTTCGCACAGTTTTATCCTAGACATGCAGTTGAAACTTCAAGTACAGATCAGTAGCAGCTTCTTGCTTCTCTGTAGCACATGATAGCCTTGCAGCAAGTCTTCTTCTCCCTTTTTCCGCCCGTCAGCCTTTTACAGTGATGACTGTATGTAGCACAACTACCCGAATCTGAAGGGGTTTTTTGTACGATTTTCCGGATATCAGCAGTGCTTTCTAAGCTGATAAAATAAGTAAATTAAATAATTTGTTGCATTATCAAATTCCATGATTATTAATCGATCTAAATTTAACTAATCTTGGGTACATGCCAAAATAAGATTTGGCGTGTGTAGGAAACAAACAAATTATACTTACAGTTAAGGCGTTCAGGACATTCTCTCAGGTTGTAAGCACTTGCAAGACAAGAGCAATCCATTTCGTTATACTCCGCTCCTGAACATGTTTGCAGTATATCTGCTTCCACACTTTCCAGAATAGGTTCATCATTATTCACAGTTTCCATAATAGGTTCATCATAATACACACTTTCCATAATAGTTTCAACATAACTAGGTTCAACTGAAAATAAATATTGATATTATGTAGTTAATATCGCAAGGAATGCAGCGATTTTGATCATTGACCATCACTGTTATTACTGGACATCTTCTGGACCAATCATAGGACGAGTGGAACATTTTTCAACAGAGCAACTATGTTTCTTATCTTTAGATAAGGAAATTTAAATTCGAATTCCATACTTACTAGAAGTTACGACAACAAGTATTGCAGCCAACGTGATCAGAGAACGCATTTGCATTTCTGAAACTATAGACTTTGAGAATATAAGGCGTTGCCATAGCGAAAAATCAAAGAATGCTTTAACAATTTAACACCGATGGCGAAAATAATCTCAGCATCATTAACGAACATTTCTTAAAGTATGCTGAGAATTTGTTCACTGGTTACAATTGCCTAAAAATTTAAATTTCGAAATTGGCATTAAACACCCCTACAATTATTGCATTAAGCTACATTACTGTAGTGTGTAAAATAATCTGACCAAAACAAATTAATAAATACGCTAAAGCTGAAAAACACGTTCAAGTTTCAAGTTTTAAAATTCGAAGACTAAAAGCAGCTTAACTACAGACTCTGTGGAAATTAGTCCCTCGAAGTAATTTGTCTAAAATCATGTTTCAATGAGTGATTTCAGCGCGACTTTTAGGCTATCGATTCCCATATTATTATTTAAGTTCTTAAGCATTTATGCTGGCGGCATCATTTAACAATGTCCAATATTGAATTTTCTCACCAATGACTTGAATTAAAGAACGTCTCTTGTATCATAATTTAGTTATTACTGATATGGTTCACCACACCCTTTACCCTACCTTGCGATACAATTCTAAATTTAATTTAATTCAGCTCATTTTAACAAAATTCAACAACAAATTATTAAGGAAGTCTTTTAGAAGAAATTATCTATTCATTACTGAATCTAATGCAATCTGATACAGTCAATTTTCTGTCTGGCAAAAGTTACGTCTTGCAAGTGGAATGTGGATTCTAAAAAGAAATATATACAACAAATTAACTGATATAATGTCTAAGTAAAAATGTAGCCTGGTTCTGTAAGAAACAAAAACTAAATAATGACATTTTTGGTGACCTCAAAAGGTAAATCATGGTTTTTAATCTCAACGACAGTTGAGTTATATAATGAAGTTTAATATCAAAAAAGAACAGTCTCACTCAGATTTCAAGTAAAGGTCCAAATCCATATAATATACTTTATAGTTTACAGGTTAAAAGACTGCACTTAGCAGTTGTATTTATTGATGTAGCACATGATAGCTCTGCAACAAGTCTTCTCCTTCTTCTTCCCGTCCTTTAGCTGCTTACAGTGGTGGTTGTACGTGACACAACTGCCGGTATCTGAAAATTAAATTGTCAGATTTGATGCTTCATAGAAATATTTAAAGTTGATCAGAAAGATAAGATGGACCTGAGTATCAATTCAAAATCTGTATCCATTTGCGTCATTTACTGTAGCTAAGGCTTGAACTGCATTCTCTTATATCGTAGAGATCCGCAAGACACGAGCAATCCAGTTCGTTTATCTCCGCCCCAGAACATGTTGAAAACTTGTCTACGCCGATGAAGATATCCTCTTCAAGTTCTTGAAAATAAGATGTCGTTTCGTAAAAATTACAATTTCAACACTATTCTAAAAGCAACATTTATTAATGAGCACTTTTATCTATCTTATTTTATTCCGGTATTTCAACAGCAATGTGGTAAGCATCAGACGCTCCATGAAATATTATCGAAGTAAATTGCATTCTGTACTTCTCTCTGGACTTTTCTCGTCAATTATTATTATAGGTGGTTCTAGGGACCTTATCTTGAGAACCCATGAGATTGCTTTCTTGCCCTTGGGAGCGTCCACGAGGTTGGCACCATTTCTCAGAGAGTAAATTTGGGAGGACTTGATGTAGGTGATGCCACCACAATCTGGTGAAACAGATGAAGTGAAGGGATCAACTTTAATAATATGTACAAATAAAACGTACGGTTTATAATTTGTAAAACTTTATATGAGAGTTATTTACGGAAGTTCAGATGTTTACTAACCAGAACGCATGATACACTCAATCTGTGCTTGTTCTAAATCGTCGTACTCAGAAACTCTGGAACTATATCTACCCCTCAGATATTTCCCGCGGTGTTTCTCCCAGATTCCTGAAAATATTTACACCCTGTTGAAGGACGCACGGACGAAGATCTTCACATATATGATAACAATTAAGTTCTGACTCTAGAGATGCTTGGTTACTTACCAGAGTCTGCAGTTACAGCAACAAGTATTGCGGTGAAAGTAACTAGAGACCACATTCCTTGACTGTTCCGAAACAGTATAACAAATACAATGATCTAAACATAGTGACGTTTAGATTGGAAATAAGTCTATAATTTATTTGATCATTGATCAACTTTTGAAACTTTCAAAGATGCAATGGCCATCAACATTAAACAAATACTAATCGATCAAAACATAGTTTAGAACGAATAACATGGTTTCGAAGGAGCTCTCCAAAATATATCTGGGTAAACGAAAGGCTCCCTAATAATATTTTTCTAACAGCGGCGTACAGTTATTTAGTCTCATCAGTACTGATCTGATCAGAGAAAATCAACAAATCAAATTAATACAATTTTCGTAATTTGATTGAGGTCCTTTTCAACGGAACTGCAGGACTTTTGATGATGATATTATAATTTGAAGGGGTGGTCTGGATTAAAACCTAAAACTTAAAAGTGTATCTTATGTTAGAGATTGTTGATTGAATTTGTTGCCAATGATCCGGGCATGATGATCTTGGTGAATGGCACCGGGCCATCAGAGCTTCCTTTCCCCACTCGTACCTTCATATTTGATACAAGAGAAACGCCATTCTCGGACGTGAGGAGAGTTAGGACTCCTCCAACTACATTAAATTAATTCCTTCTGTAACGTCCTCAATAAATGTATTTAATTGTGAAAATAGTTTAAAACGAACTCAATTATTTATTGAAATGTCTATAATTTGATTCAGATTCACTGCAGTTTGTTGGTAACTGGTGTCCACTCAGATAAAAAGCCATCTTCAAAGTAATGATGTTTCTTAAAATGCAGTAGTAGTTAAAATACAATAGTTAACATCAATCAATCTCTGTCTCAATAATTTTTCAATCATGTTTCAAGGTTTTTAAGACTACATCAATCCATGTTTAACAGCTGCACTTAGCATCCGTGTTTATTGATGTAGCACATGATAGCTCTGCAACAAGTCTTCTCCTTCTTCTTCCCGTCCTTTAGATGCTTACAATGGTGGTTGTACGTGGCACAACTGCCAGTATCTGAAAATTAAGTTGTTATAATATTATAATAATTTGGAGACACCTTTCAAACTAATATGTGCAATGAAAAAGGTATGATGTGGCCGTGAATTGTGAAACATATTAGATATAATATATTATATTATGATTTGCATTTAGCATCATGTACCATAGCTAAGGTTTGAAGCGCATCCATTTACATTGTAGAGATCCGCGAGACAAGAACAACCCATTTCGTTTATCTCCTTTCCAGAGCATGACATAACCCTGCCTTCCGCTAAATCTGTCTCAAATTCTGGAAAATAAGAAGTGTGTTGGAAGAATCGCGATATTAATTGATAACACTTTATTCTAAACAGTGCATTAATCAAATAGTGTACTCATGATCTATTATAGTATTAGCTGTATCTATATTTCACTCCAACAGCCATGTATTTTTAAATGGAATCAGCTATTTTAAGTCTAAAGATCTCAGATGAAAGAAAGCTGAAACTGTACATACAATTTCATGAAGGTGAAGTGCATTCTGTACCTGTTTCACGGATCGGTATCATGAGGAGCCAGGAGGTTGCTTTCTTGCCCTTGGGAGCGTCCACGAGGTTGACACCGCTTCTCAGAGAGTACTTTTGAGAGGACTTGATGTAGGTGATACCACCACAATCTGGTGAAACAGATGTAGACAAAGGATCAACATTATAAGAAATAAAACGTACAGTATCATTGGCGAGGATCAAATTGATCAAAGATAATAAAAAGTTGTTCTTTGACATGATTATCAAGTTTGTCCCTCATTTCTGACCTCAATTACATCAGTATTTGTTGAACTGCAAATTAAAGTAATTTTCTACATGCAGATTTAAACTAACCAGATCGCATCATACACTCAATCTGTGCTTCTTCTAGATAGTTGTACTCGGACACTCCAGAACTGTATTTACCCCTTAAAACTTTTCCGCGGTGTTTCTCCCAGATTCCTGGAAATATTTAGACCCCGTTGAAGGACGCACTGAGGAGGACCTTGACGAATATTATCACAATTAAGTTATACTTCTAACTCTAGAAATTTAAAATGTTTTCTTACTGGAGTCTGCTGTTACAGCAACAAGTATTGCAGCGAATGTCACCAGAGAACGCATTCCTCGACTGCAGCGAAACAGTATAACAATAATTTAAACTAAAGTCGAGCTAATATTGGAACTAACAAACAGTCTATTATTTAATGAAAACTTTCAAAATAAAATGGCCATAAACACACACTAATCGATTAAGCATAATTGAACAAAAATGTATCCGGGTAATCAAAAGGCTCCCTGATAACATTTTTCCAGCAGCGCCACATAATTATTTAGTCCCATCGATACCGATTATATATAATATGTTTGTGTTGTAATTTCATTAAGGTCATTTCTAAATGCAAGACTATCGTTTTTAATATTTGAAGGGGTGCTCTGCATTGAGACATTTTATTTTTTGTTAGAGATTATTGATTTAATTTGATGCTAATGATCCTGACATGATCACTGAAGATCTTAATGAATGGAATCAGGCCATCTGAACCTCCTCTCCTCACCCGTATATGGTTTAAAAAACAAACACAATTATTTGTAGAAATTAATTTTTAGATGGTCCGTTCGAGTAATGTCAGCGGTGGAGACGGTGGTGACGCCAACTCCAACATATTTAACCCAAAGAAAAAATCATTTGTATCAATAACCAGTACATTAATGATCAGCTTCGCCACGTTCAACAACCGTGGGCTCGGTGTTCAGCAAGATGGCAGCCAACATACATAGTAAACGTGGGTTACTAGGATTAGACTGTGAAAAGTACAATGTCGACATTTGCGCTCTTACTCTGCAGGAAACTAAAGTCACCGAATCAGACAGCCTTGTTTTGCGCAACTGTTTTAACTTGTTTCTGTTCGAGCAGTTGGACAGTCATGGTAGAAAAAACAAACACAATTATTTATTGAAATTAACGACAATAATTTAGTCATAAATTAACTCTGAGTGCTGTTTATAACGGTAACTGGTATTCAATTAGAATAATGCTATCTTTAAATTACTGACGTTGTTCAAAATTTTGAATCATACGACATACAGTAATTATAGTTCAACAGTTCAACATCAAGAAATGACAATCTCAACCATCTTTCAAGGGTTACATAAATCCACAGCTTAGCATCCGTGTTTATTGATGTAGCACATGATAGCTCTGCAACAAGTCTTCTCCTTCTTCTTCCCGTCCTTTAGATGCTTACAATGGTGGTTGTACGTGGCACAACTGCCGGTATCTGAAAATTAAGTTGTCAGATGATAGATCTTCTGGTTTCGAGGAGAAACTTATATACTTGTTTTGACACGTGACGGTGGTTCTGGGATTTGATTGGCCAATTCTGAAAGATGCTTGGTAAATCGTTGTCACAGGTCAGGAAGGATATGTTTCACCTCCCCACCACTCACCAGTATCCAAGTTTGATACTTTAAACTTGTAAGTGCTGCAAAAGAGAGAAATTATGGGGCTGTGGACCATTTAAAATGTTTATCCATTTAAGTCACTTACTGTAGCTAAGGCTTCTACTGCATCCTCTTTCATTGTAGAGATCAGCTAGACAATTGCAACCCATTCTGCTTATCTGTAACCCAGAGCATGTTATAACTCTGTTATTGCTCATGTCTCCTCTGGAACTAAGTCTCAGTTCCTCCGAGATACCTGAAGTTTTTCAGATGTAACACAACCCACTAAAGAACAGTCCATGCAAGATTCGTCGATAATTTAAATTATATAAATCAATCACACAATGGATGAAGGATTGAATCATAATGGAACATAAGATTCCACCTTTACAAAATGTGGACAAATATTTAATACATTCAGCACTATGTAACACACACTATGTAACACCCGCTGAATTAATTACTGAGAACTTTGACGAGTATGATCAGATTTAAGTTCTGACTCGAAAAATGTCTTTTGGTTACTTACCAGATTCAGCCGTCGAAACAACAAGTATCACAGCCAATGTGATGAAGGAACGCATTTCTTAACTACAGCGAAACACTTTTAAACATGAAATAAGTTTCGTTTAGATTGAATTTGTATGATTAATGATCATTGATCAAACAATGATCCTGACGTCATGATGTATCTTGATATGGCAGAAAAAAAACTCAGTTATTACAAAAGGCGAATTTCTAAACATTTTAAAATATAACAAACAAAAGCTCCGTGGCTATTTTCGTTAGCTATAAACTTCATTTCTATCAGATTAACTTTTAGACTTATTTGTAAGCTTAGGAAAACATTAAATTGTTTATCAAAAAATAATGTTCCACTAAAATCTAATTAATATATGCGGACTAAATGGCTAAAGGACTATTTGATCGGTCCTTGACTCCATCGATAATTATTAAATTATCTCATGGCAACCTAACAGACACCTTCAACCTGCTATGATAGAATTATTGAAAAAAACTCTTCGCATTAAGTTCAATCCTTTAACTTCAGTCCTATGATGAGGAGAAAGGAACTTTACTAACATTTAATGTGGTCCTCAAAGCAAAGTTCTTAAAGCAAAGTTCTTAAATATTAATTAGAGGTAATTGTACGTCTTGACTCTTGATGATAAAGTATCATTTTATTCTCATGTCGCCGCCGGTCAACATCGAAACATGTCGTATCGGTCCCCAGATGAATGAATTGTTTAGACTACGGTGACGAATTAACGTAACAACCCATTAAACAATAAACATTTAACAAGTAGTTTACGTAATATTAGTACGCAATATTGGTACTATACGAGTATAATATTATGGAATATGTTATAATATGTATAGTAGTGGTAGTATCAGATGCTATCGCAGAGTTGGTGATCTCTTGCACTTTTCCAACTCGACGACGGTGAAAATAGGGCTTGTCATGATATCATGGATCGCTTAGGTTCCACCAGGATCTGGTAGTCCTCATAATTCTGCGGCCTCTATGTATCGTCATCTCGCACAACTCCGTAAGACCCTTGTGAGTTAGGCATGTGAAAATTTGCAGCCTTCCAGATATTGATTGGGTTAACAAGGTGTCGTACGTCACCTCAAGATTGGGTGACAGGGGGCTCACCAGTCCAGAACCCAATTGATTGGGTCTGAGGTCACGTGATTATGAGCCTGAGGTCACGTGACTGTGACGTCACCAGAGCTTGTTCTCCGTTTCCCGCTCATTGGACCAAGTGAGCTTGCATGCTTGTGAATGTGGGTGTAAGTACAGCTGTACTGTAGTTTATATCTAATTGCCCCCTATTATAGAAACCGTTAATTTATTTTCTGACAGAAAGCTAGAAATTTACCAAAATATCGACATTGTTATAAACTAATTTTTATGAACATCACTGACCTAAAATTGCACGAGAAATCGATTAAACTTGGTTTCAGAGCTCAACGATGCTTCCTCATGACTTAAAATCCATGTTTTATCGATAAAATCAACATTATGATCCTGTTGATTAATTAGTAACAGGTAACAAATACGCAGAAACAACCATCACACCTACATTGCATTCTTAAATGGATCGATTTTGAGTGATCAATAATCAACGTGATGATACGCTCACAGGCTACCACGTCTCGTGTAACCCTAGGACTCTAACACTTAACAGACTCAAACACGCTCACAGGCTTCCACGTCTCGTGTACCCTAGGATTTGGTTTTGGATCGGACACTCAAAACAATGATAGAGGAGCGGTCTACACGCTCACAGGCGCCGGGACAAGTCAAACTAGGCAAAATCGCGGTGAATTTGCAGCGAAAGATAATGTATTTGCAGAGCTAAGTTAGATGTCATAAATTCGTTAACTAGAGAACTAGCTTGTTAGCTTGCAAAATAGGTAGCAACAGGCTCGTCAGGCAAAACAATAGCATCTATATTAATAATCTTAAGTGTTAAGATCTAAACAGACTCTTCTTCGTGATGTTGTTACACGAATAGGGTAATGAAAATTACTAGTTGGTTTCAGGTTTGTGTGTAGATAGTAGGTATGTGCGGCTTCTAGTGATAATAGAAAATTATCATAATTATTACGTAAGAATTATTATAAAAGTTATGTTTATATGGAAACAAGGAGAGTAAGTTTACATATTGAGGCACTTTTCTTGAAACTACTTTTGTTCATGTTCATGCTTCCCTGAGCATTATGAGCCGGAAATACTTTTTCGGTCGTACAAGGGTCTTACGGAGTTGTGCGAGATAACGATACATAGAGGCCGCAGAATTATGAGGACTACCAGATCCTGGTGGAACCTAAGCGATCCATGATATCACGACAGGCCCTACGCTACGGTAAAAAACAATTCTAAGGTGATCAGAGCCCTTACGAAAAAGTGTAAGATCTTCAATTTTCTGAAATTAAGGATACAGAATAATAACTTGTAAACTCCAGAGGTATCCAGTATCGTTATGAATCGTTACCGGTTACACTTGCTGAGGTTGGTGTTACTAGGCCATGAAGACAGGTGGGATTGGCCGTAAAATTGTATAGAAATGAATGGCTTTCTGTACATGATGATAATACGATTATTTACCGAGTTACAGTCTCTAACGATTCAGATAAAAATAGACGAAGTGGGTACGAAAATGGACAAAACCTTGCGAGTGATAAAATTTAATGTCTGCCTAGTAGACGTGGTTCCATTTGGCAACGAGCCGCAAAATAAAAACATAATGAGAGAGCCTTACTTCTGCCACCGTCGTCTGTAAAAATGTGAACTGGCGACGAAACACGAACTGTCTGCGAGTGAACTGAAAGTGAACTAGTCCTAGAAGATAATATGCTATACGGGATAATAAGAAACGAACGGGAGAACAGAACGCCCTAAGACCCAACATGAAAGGCGACATCGAACACAAAAAGCTAGAGATCTACATAATAGATACAAAAGTTAACAACAGACTACAAAAGTTACAATCAGACAGAAAGCGAAACAACAGCAAAACCCCACGAAAGACGCTGCAACTCTGCAAGATTCAGTACCTACCTCTAAAGGTGACACAGGTTTATGCGCTTCACTAGAAAAGAAAAGAATAACTCCGCAAGAAAAGAACAGAACGTTCTTAAACCCAACAACGAAACAATAATAGCTAACGATCTACCTAGCAGACTTTAAAAGTTACCAATAGACTACAAAAGTTACAACCAGACAGTAGACTGTAACCAACAACTGTAACCAACACAAAGAAAAAGCCAGACACGAAGGACACTCAATGATAAAACTGGCAACAGCTGAAAATTGAACAATGAGAGAAAGACTAGTGAAGTCATCGATAGTGCTCATTCAATACGTATCGTGATAATTCTGATATGTTTAAAGGTTTAAGTGAATAAGTGATGAGTGTTAATATGACCTACCTATGTCCTATGTTGAGTTTCGTCAAAACTTGACGGGGTCATCACATCTTCTGACCACCCCATAGCGAAGTAAAGTCTCGCTCGTTGCGCCAGCACAGCAGAGAGTTCGTATTTGGAGGAGTATATCCCCTGATCGGCGGCTTATCAGGGAGAGACAACATGAACTTTGTGAGCTTATCTTTGAAGTGCTCTAGATCTTGAATGACATTCAGATGGTAGGGGATTGCATTCCACAATTTAGGTCCCTGAACTGCAAATGAGTTGTCAAACAAGGTGAGGTCTGTTGTTGAACTGGTTCTACGTTTCGATGGAATTACTTCAAGGTTTCCAAACAAATAGAACGTTCAGATCATTGCTGGTCTTTCCGTGGAGGATTTTCCGCATAATATGAAGAATGATCGCTCCCGCCTTCGTTGAAGAGACATCAGAGATAGATAGACCAGGCGATCCCAGTAGTGGAGATCGCGCATTCCTGATATTCTGGCGGTAAATGCTTTCTGTACAGTGTACACTCTCCAGTCCTTTGATATCGCTGATTTTTGAGGGATGCCATAATGGACAGTAATATAGATGTGGATACTGGCGGGGAGGTGAAACACATTTGTTTAATTTAATAGTGAGCACATGTTCGGCGGGTTGAGGAGATGAAACACATTTGTTTACATTTTTAGGGTAAGCACATGTTCGGCGGGTTGAAGAGGTGATACACATTTTGTATTATAGAAGGTTTGTAACACTTGTAACGCTTTCTTGTTACCCCCCCTTTGAAGGCCCCGAATTATTTTCTGAACGAAAGCTCAAAAATAACCGAGAAATCGACCTTCTTATTAAGGCCACAATAATATTCAATCGGAATTCGAACCATTGATTTGTATCCACAATTTTTTGTAGGAAAGCGGACAATTTTATTTTTTGGGTTTGATACCAAACCTTGACCGGAGTCCATAGTGCTTATTTTGTAGTAGATCCATCATTATGTCTTCTAAAATTCAATGATTATTTTTTGAAATCTTCGTCTCCATCCAAGAAGTTATGTTTTATGCGAGTAAAGATGTCTCACAACATAGTACAAACACGGTTCTTACGTAATTTTAAGATAAAATTGAGTAAATACAATTTTTCATGTGAGCTAATCAAGGGGATCATAACATTAAGTTAAATAGTCCGCGATTCGTCCTGGAATCTTAATAAAATTGTCCGACCACGTTCCAAATTAAAATTAATTTGTCTGGAGTTCCAGATAAGTATTATTATGTAATATAAAAAAGAATTTTTGATTTCAGCCCCAGTTCAGCAAGTACAGCTGAGTGATCAGACACACTACTTCCTTTTCTCATGTCTAAATTTTCAATCCGGTCGTGTTTAGGTTCTAAACTCAGCAGTTCAGTTTGTTGCCGAAGCACAAGATAGCTCTGCAACAAGTCTTCTCCTTCTTTTTGCCACTTTTCAGCTTAAGACAGTGGTGGTTATACGTTGCACATCTCTGAGGATCTGAAGTGATTTTGTCACTTTTTATCACGGTTCTCATTGCTCAGATGTGTCTGGCTACCCGATAACTATAAGTGGTTGAATTATTCATAAAATCAAAACCGCAATTTAAATTATGAGAAAACTATTGCAATATCTACCGTAGCTAAGGCCTGATCCGCAATCTCTCATGTTGTAGTAATTTGCTAGACAAGAGCATCCCATTCCGTTTATATCCACTCCAGAGCATGTCGTAGTTCCAATTCTATTATCTGGTCTTGCTGAAAAATAAAATATGGTCCAAGGCATAGTGATTCAATTAGGCTATATTGTGACCTTTCTGTATTATTTACTATAATTGTGTCTGATTTGGATAAAATTAAATAGTTGCTCAAAAAATCAGTAGAGTAATAGCTAAAAGTTTAGCGCCATCAAACTTGATTTTTGGCATGATCGTGCATGTCATTCTGATTTTATGGCGGACCAGAGGGTTGGCTACGGTGTATGGAGATCCGAACTCGGGTTTCTTTGTAAATTCAGGACTCCTACATAGTCAGATGAAAAATATTGGGAATAGTTCATTACTTTGGGAATGATAATTAGCTATTTGGGGACGTGAAAACAAATTAAATTATCTCACAGTAAAACACCCAGCATGGTGGGGGCATCACACAGTCCTCCCATCTTGGAAAAGTGCCTTCGCCGTTGTAACACCATATACCAGTATGTCTGAAGGAAGCGCTTTGTAGGTCATTGAATCGTAATAATAAATATACATATTTTAGTATTTTACGTAGTTCTTTTCGGGAAAAAAATTGTATTTCATTCGACTAAGTAAGATTTGGACAAATTTGGTGGAAAACGTACCCGCTTGGGTTTCGACAGAAGTTTTCGTCCAAACCTCCATTATAATTAGGGAATCTGAAAATATGTTGATATGACAGGAACCCACATTTTTAAATTACAACAAACTAAAAATTCCAACAAAAATAGTCAGTTCGTTCGCCAGAATTAGTTAAATTACTGACAAATTTCCTATTATAATGTGATTTTAAATACTGTATTTTCCAAAAATGAGCCAATCAAAATCAGGCCACTTACCTAGACCTTCCAGCAGTGAACTTATGCCTGTTGGGAGATTGTGCCGCCCATTTCTGGCAAGATCGTCCTGATTTGGTGACTGCTAGAGTTCCTCTGTATGTGACTCCGGTCATGTCTCCTCCTTGCTGTATACAATCTGACGTTTCATAAGTCATATATGATATAAACAGAATGGAAAGATCAAAAACTTTAAGGATGAACCATAAGATTTGGAAGTTACTCTCGTAAGAGTGATGATCACAATATTTCCCATAAGTTTTGCTGCTCAGGATCTCCCATGACCCCACATCATCTATCTAGTTCTGATTCTGTTGCTTTCTTCTGGTGACTTACCAGAGGCTTTTGTTGCTGTAGTTGTAAAAACGAGTATTGCAGCCAATGTGACCACAACTGAATAACGCATTCCAAAAATACAGCGAAAAGTTATAACACTAATGTTAACAATGTCGTGATTCGACAGGAATTGTACCACTTAATAAGATAAAAAATCTGAAACTTAACGAAAAGAAACAAACTGGTATTAAAATAATAAAATTTATCGATTGAAGCGCGATTCGACAAAAATAGTTTGTTTAACATGATTATATCACTTCGATTTGTGACAAACGCGAACATTCTCGAATCATTTAGCAATTCTTCGTCCTTGTTTCATTTAGATGATTTTCAGGTAAACCACAGGGGTATTTCACCGTATTGTGCTTTAGTTCTGATTTTATTAGAATTTGTTTTTGGTAAGAAGTTTAGTAAAATACTAAAGATGAGCCCATTAAACGTCTTCAGGAGCACATCTAGCTTATTCTGGCTAGGAAAAGAAACTAACGATTTCCTATTTTCTATAGAGCATTAAATAACCAAGATCACGCCATTGAAACATAACATTTCTCTGGTGGTAAAGAACCGATAATATTTGGATAGATCTGGGTGGTTTATTCCGGGTGTACGGTGTGGAACAGACCTGACGAAGAAATCTATTCGGGAATTCAAATCAGCGTCGGAGGTGATAATCAGAAGACAGAAGTGATTTTCGTGGTGTCGTGGTGTCGTGGACAGAAGTGATTGCGACGCGTGGTGTCGCGACTGTCGTGGTGTCAGTAAAATGGCAACAGATATACATATCGCTAAATTTATAGTAAGATTTGGGATTTCTGGTATATTTATTATAAATATCTTATTTAAAGTTGTATGTTCAGCGCATGTTATAATTTTTAAACAAACTTGTATCATAATTTTTAAACAAACTTGTATCATGTTGCCTGTTACCATCACCTCAGCTCAATCTTTGGAATGTTTTAAAGCTTTTCTTAAAACGTACCTTTTCAAACTGTCCCCAGATGAACTTGAAAAACTTTATCGATAACTATTCTGGTCATACTTTATATTCGGTCTTTGCATAATAAATTTAATTATCATTTTCGGGCTTTAGTATTGACGTTATATTTTCAAGCATAAGTTATCTTTTAGCTCAGTATTCATGATATTTTCTGGGATGATTAGTTCAAACACTGCTGAGTGTAAGTTTTATCTTAAAAGCGGTGTTATTAAATTTCAATTTATTTATTATATTATGTAGACAATAAAAGACAATAAACAGCGATCACTAATTTGTTTGATTTATAAGATTTTATGAATCAAAAAAAGATAAAAAGTACTGTGAACAGGCTTGTACTAAAAACCCATCTTTTCTGCTTTCACAACGATGAACTCAGCAAGAAGATCTCGTCTGATAGCACATAATCGCCTTACAACACATCCTGTTTTTTCTGTTACTCTCCGTCATTGTGTTGCAGTAATGACTGTATGTGGCACATTTGTTCTGGGCTGAAAATATCTACTGTGAGACGAAAGTACTCAGTATTCTTGTCAGATGATGATCTTATCTTATACTATCTTGACTTTTCTTGTCTACAATCCTACTCACAGTATCTAATGTTTGCTCCACATTTCCTCACGTTAAAAAGACTCGCTAGACACGTGCACCCCATGTAGTTCATAGTCGTTGCCGAGCAGGTCCACAACCTATTTCTTGTGCCTTGGAAATAATTGCTTGTTGTGATTTATTTTGGGCAATTTTGGTCAATTTTGATTTATTGATGATATCTAATAATCATAATATTTGATATTTTCTAATCAGTAAGCATAAATCGTGTTTCAAAGTATCAAGGTAAACAGGTAAAACAGCTGTGACTTCATTTACCATGTACATAACTTACATTTCATTAAAAAATAATATGCATTAATTTCAGAAAAACCGAAGTACAAATAATATAAATTTATCTTACCATCGCATACTGTCGTAGTTACGAGGAGTATTGCTAGTGTACTCAGAAAATTCATGATTGTCGGTTTGCTGCGGTAAGGATCTAAACAATTACCACCATTTAAACTAGTTAAATTTGAAATGTTCAAAACTTTGAACTATCCGAAAATTAAAAGAAACTGCTATCTATTGCAGTTTCATCTAATTTATGTATGTAATATTTGCATATTATATAATTGACCTTATATATAAGTTAATTTAATGAAAATGTAAGGTTAACAATCGTGGCCACAATCCTCGTTGTTTGTTCGGCCGCATAATGTTTCCTCTCCTTTAAAGCAGTTGGACACGCTTCTCCATCAATATTTCAATACATGATATCATTTCATGATAACTATTTAAACGATATCCTCAAGATACAACTAACATGCTTCTCTTGAAATTGACAACTGAGCGTAAGTCAGTAAGTGAGGGGTAGCCTCATTAATACCTCCAGCGTGTCGAGTACATGTGCTATTTACACCTATAACACTCAAAATAACCTCATCAATAGCTGCTGCCACGTGATCAGTATACATTTCCCACTAAGAATACCATTACAAATAATACAGACTCAGATCAGGTGTGGCCTTATTTCCTCCATTGTTGAGATACATTCAATATCCATACATACACCAACCATTGTAATCTGTACCCTTTCAGGCACCTAAATAGGGTGTCTACTCGTAAGGGAGTTCCTGCACCATGTCCCACGCTAAGGATCAAAGTATTGCACTTAGAGTCTAGAGATTGCATATACATTATACATACTACTAATAATATGCATTCCCGCACATGCTGTTCCTACATCTCTAGAAAAACGAACCTTTTGTTTTCTTCTAATAAAAATACTATATTTTAAATTAAGTCTAAGCCGGACGAGAAAGTGGTAAAAAACAGAAGTTGAACGAAAATCACTGCCACTATACAAGTTCAAGTGTTTCAGACTTTACTAGCGACTTTGTCGCTGAGCTTTACCACAATTCGAAGGAGTAACTCATAGAAATATATTATGTTATCACATATTATAGTACAGACAGATCCGTCTGAAAAAATCGATCTGCCGACACACAAAGCTTACAAAGGATTTTTGACGTTTTTGAGTCCTAATAGATGTCCTTTATGGCTGACCAACTTTTCCAAACTTTTCCACGTGTCTTAAGGCCACTTTTTGCCACTTTACCACTTTTTACCACCTTTCTTGTTTGTCGAATATCTTTAGTTGTGAACATCGTAAAAGGTTGCGGATCAATCGAGTGTGTTCAGATTATCATGAAGAAAAACTTTTGTTCTAGCAATTTTTACGTCAGATAATCATTTAATTGGATAATTATCAATTAGCTAATTAGCAAAATTCTAAAAATTTTTTATTGGCTCAAAATGATCGGAATAGCTTAAAACACGGAGAAAAGTAGTTTTTAGAAAAACTTTGAAAATTTTTCACTTACATTTTTTTTCGAGACTTATAAAAATTTCGAAAATTCAAAAAAAAATTTTCCGCCAAAAGTGATCAAATCGCATGAAACGCGGAGAAAAATGCTTTTCAAAAAAAACTTAGTGAATTTTTCGTTTTAAGAATACTTAAATCACCAATATTTGTAATTGGAGTTCAGTAAATCGCGGCAGATTTTAGTAATCAGGAATTAATAAGTGGAAAGGTCTGAAACTGAAAAACGTTAACCATACGATATAAGAGTTTCATAACTAATTACAATACAGCCTGATCAATTTTCACAGAAACTGCACCAATGGCACAGTCAAGATTGAAAGACGAAACGATAGCCTGCTGTACTATCATTTTATTGATTTCAATGATGAATCAGTGGGGTTAAGATAATCACATTTGTAATAAATAAAACCTCTCTGTACCGTCAATTGTGCTAATCTAAACCGGCCTACCTGGATTACCAGACCTCTTCTTTTCCTCAACAATCAAACCAAGTTGTTCATATAGTATTTGGTGGGCGATGTAAGTACTTATCGAGCTGTATTCAATCACAATACGACACAATACGTGTATATTATATGGCTCTTAATGAGGTTTATGAAACGCTTAATACCGTGAGAAACCCGGTATAGAGACGTTTTACAGTTTATCACGAAAACGTATACTTGGCCTCATGGCTCATTTACAGTTCGAAGAAGGCAAGAACAGACCAGGGAAACTAAGGAACAGCCAGATCCAGGAAGCAAGTGTTAATACACCTTCCAACATCTACTGTGACTTGTTTTGTATTGTACTGCATACCGCTTCATTTGCTATGCGGTATAAAATCACCCCCATATGTCAGGGTCGGCTAAAAGTAAAATCAACAAGGGTAACATACGGGCAAGGATAAGATTTAGATACGAGCGTCGGCAAGGTAGTAAAGAACCGTAATAATTCATTCAGAAAAATTGTTCAACTGGCATATGTAGAATATAGACTATTGCATTGGTCGCTAATTTGTTTGATTTATAAGATTTTATGAATCAAAAAAAGATAAAAAGTACTGTGAGCAGGCTTGTACTAAAAACCCATCTTTTCTGCTTTCACAACGATGAAATCAGCAAGAAGATCTCGTCTGGTAGCACATAATCGCCTTACAGCACATCCTGTTTTTTCTGTTACTCTCTGTCATTGTGTTGCAGTAATGACTGTATGTGGCGCATTTGTTCTGGGCTGAAAATATCTACTGTGAGACGAAAGTAAGTACTCAGTATTCTTGTCAGATGATGATCTTATCTTGTACTATCTTGACTTTTCTTGTCTACAATTCTACTCACAGTATCTAATGTTTGCTCCACATTTCCTCACGTTAAAAAGACTCGCTAGACACGTGCACCCCATGTAGTTCATAGTCGTTGCCGAGCAGGTCCACAACCTATTTCTTGTGCCTTGAAATAATTGCTTGTTGTGATTTATTTTGGGCAATTTTGGTCAATTTTTATTTATTGATGATTTCTAATAATCATAATATTCAATATTTTCTAATCAGTAAGCATAAATCGTGTTCCAAAGTATCAAGGTAAACAGGTAAAACAGCTGTGACTTCATTTACCATGACGTGCATAACTTACATTTCATTTAAAAATAATAAACATTAATTTCAGAAAAACCGAAGTACAAATAATATCATCAATTTATCTTACCATCGCATACTGTCGTAGTTACGAGGAGTATTGCTAGTGTACTCAGAAAGTTCATGATTGTCGGTTTGCTGCGGTGAGGATCTAAACAACTACCACCATTTAAACTAGTTAAATTTGAAATGTTCAAACCTTTGAACTATCCAAAAATTAAATGAAACTGCAATCTATTGCAGTTTCATTTAATTCATGTATGTAATAATTACGTATACAATTTACCTTATATATAAGTTAATTGAATGAAAATGTAAGGTTAACAATCGTGGCCACAATCCTCGTTGTTTGTTCGGCCGCATAATGTTTCCTCTCCTTTAAAGCAGTTGGACACGCTTCTCCATCAATATTTCAATACATGATATCATTTCATGATAACTATTTAAACGATATCTTCATTCTTCAAGATACAACTAACATGCTTCTCTTGAAATTGACAACTGAGCGTAAGTCAGTAAGTGAGGGGTAGCCTAATTAATACCTCCAGCGTGTCGAATACATGTGCTATTTACACCTATAACACTCAAAATAACCTCATCAATAGCTGCTGCCACGTGATCAGTATACATTTTTCACTAAGAATACCATTACAAATAATACAGACTCAGATCAGGTGTGGCCTTATTTCCTCCATTGTTGAGATACATTCAATATCCATACATACACCAACCATTGTAATCTGTACCCTTTCAGGCACCTAAATAGGGTGTCTACTCGTAAGGGGGTTTCTGCACCAATCACCATGTCCCACGCTAAGGATCAATGTATTGCACTTAGAGTCTTGAGATTGCCTATACATTATACATACTACTAATAATATGCATTCGCGCACATGCTGTTCCTACATCTCTAGAAAAATAAACCTTTTGTTTTAATCTAATAAAAATACTATATTTTAAATTAAGTCTAAGCCGGACGAGAAAGTGGTAAAAAACAGAAGTTGAACGAAAATGACTGCCACTATACAAGTTCAAGTGTTTCAGACTTTACTAGCGACTTTGTCGCTGAGCTTTACCACAATTCGAAGGAGTAACTCATAGAAATATATTATGTTATCACATATTACTTGCATAACGTAATTCTACTTTTTCGTCATTGTCCGACAGTCATATGAAACTTATTTGAGCTCAAAGAATCATAGTTATGACTTTTCACTTTTTTCAGATGACTTTCGGATTACATTCTGTTTGTTGTCTTGTAACTTACTTACTGGTACATATTGGGTATGTTAGGCTCACCTTTTGAACGAGTTAAAAATTGGTAGCACAGTTTTTGTTTCGTTTTTAATAGCTCTTCAGGAAAAGTCCAAGTGCGTGCTCGATGCTCATCAGTATGTACAATGCACATCTCTATGTGCAATGTACTGATCCTTAGCGGTGGAATTGGTTTCCAAACTGCTTCATAAGAATGTGACTGTTGTTTACATTATATTATATACATACATTTCAGACACAGTTCTGCCTCCGAATGTGTGAAATTTGGTTGAAACAATATGCGGAATTTAAAATCTAACAAGTGAAATAAGTTCATAAAATTAAATGGTTTTTGCACATTTGCGACCAACATCAATAAAAGCAAGCAGTTATAAAGTTATAAAGTATAAGAAAACTAGAACTCATTTGTACCGAACGTTTACACTTAACACGATGCTACAATTTCCACGTGAATAAAAAACAGTCCCTCAAAATCTTAAAAAAGGTCAAAGTTCGTTTTAGAAAAACTGATTGGTACAGTTTACAACACTGTCCGAGTCCCATCATCTGTCCAAACTACAGAGTTCCGGTCTATTGACTGACTAGTAACTATACTAGTTGAGCATACAGAACATGAACACGGCCAGGTCATAAGGTCATAGTATCCCGACTCTTCCATACCGTGCTTCACCATCTTTCTCCACAACTTCCAGTGTTCTGCACTGTCGACGTGCTCTGTCATTACTTGCTCACCGTCTACCAGCTTCTCCGCTACGTCTTGCAGCAGCTGTGGAGTGCGGATTGTGTCTAATATTATAGCAGCAAAATATTGTCTCTTTATCTTTCTAATAAAATAAGACCTAACATTTTCATACATTAATGTACCTTTTGTTATATATATAATATGAACCCGGTATTTGAGTAGAAAGTGCTATACCTTGATCCAAACAGGAAATACAATAAACATCATAAACAGAACTGGTAAATACTAGGAGTAATAAATACAGGGATGTACAGGGCAAAAGTCAGTACACATACGTTAGCTCTTATGACATGGCCATGTTTTATAGTTTATAGACCTGTAACTTTGCAGATGGTATACTGTAACTACTCATTCGAGGATTCCGTCGGAACAATTTTAAAATTCGATTTTTATGGCCACACCCAGTCAACATTGAATTACTTATACTCGTGTTTGCGAACATTTTAGATACTACATTGTAACATATTGCAAAGGTCATTAAATCCGGATTATGATCTAAAACGATGGCGTAAAACGGATGTAAAATGACAAAGTTATCAAGCAATTTGTTTATCTCATTAGCAAAATTGGTTGAGAAATCATGTAATAGCGTGCTACGACACTGTCAACCCAATCACCTGATCTGCGTAATGAATAAGCTCTTCATGCTAGATATCTAGGTCATCTGAGTAGCTGGAGCTCCCACTTTTCTAGACAAGTGTTTTTTTTTAACTCAAAGCATTACAATTTAATCCAATTATTATCAGTCAAAATATCTAAAAACCGCGAAAATGAACGTTCATTCGAAAAATGAGTGATAATACCAAGTCATACTTAAATTATTTCAATCAGGAACTCAGTCACTGAGAAATAATCCCCAACGTATGTGTACTGACTTTTGCTCCCCCGACCCCTGTGCATTTAATTTTAATGTACCATGTGACCACTGTGTATCATCATGTGTATGAAATGGGTTTAAATATTTACAGTAAGTGCTCATAATTAAGCTCGTTTTGACACGTGACAGCGTTTGGCTTATAAATCCAAAATATTAAAAAGCAATCCGGCTACTATGTTGTACTGTCTGGACCAGAATTGAGGCAATGTGCGCACATTTACGTCACAGTGCTCATTAATAAGTAACACAGATGACAGAAGCATACATGGTGGGGTGCCATATTGGAGCAAATTAGAGTACCCTGGTTTGAATAAAGTTAATTATGGCCCGCCCAGTATACCATGATCAGACATTACCTCATATCTCTTTTATCCCCAGGTTCAGTGTTTGAATGTGTGGTTGGTATGAGTGTTATGAAAAAGTACGGTTGGCGGGCACAAGTTGGGATAACAGTAGTACCCTGCTTATTTGCGCTCATCCTCCTACCATTTTGTGACGAAAGTGCTAGATACTACGCAATATCTGGTGAGTATTTAAGCAAAATCTAAAATTTAAGTTTAGTTTAGAAGAAAAAACGTTCATGTTTCTTGACTTTTAGCATGGAGATGGAAGAATGTTGAGGTTGTGACGTCATAATTAACGCTTTTTGGTGGTTACCTTAATCGGATTGAAATCTTTGTCCCAACTCTGACAATTTCGATTTAATGCAACATAAAGCTTTACAATCAAAGCATGCTACAACTATGGCAATAGTTACCATTGCTAATGGATTCTTCCTCAAACAGTGCCATTCTGCCTGGCCTTTTGAATAAAGGAGTGGGCGACATGACTCGATTCCAGACTAAATTAGTCTGGAGCATATTATATTCCTGCGATTTAACATTTAATTAGGGCTGCCTAGATTTCGCACAATCATGGAAACGTAGAACGTTTTCATGTCTCTGATCCATTATTCAAAGACAAGAACAAGTGTTGTTATAGTAAGCTGATAATCCAATACGACAAGCCGATGCAAGTCATTATGTCTCTTATGCAAAGATAATTTCAGGTCAGCACGACAAAGCGCTCCAAGTCTGCACCAAGATCTGTCGTCGTAATCGCCGCAAATTACCTGAGGGTGAGTTCCATTGACAAACACATACATTATACAACTGATTATACATTTTACACACCACTGTTCAATGCTCACTCAGCATGAATATGTATCGATGTTAATCGATCCGATAATGTTCAGGGTATATAGGCGCAAAAGCCAAACCACAAATTAGTGGTGTTAGTCGCGCAGCACGCGCGTTTATATCTTATGCGCGTAAGCTTTTAAAAGGCTAATCAGTAAAAGAAATGGCAGGGGAGTTGATCTGAAATTAGCCTCGTTAATACACCCATTGAATACTTAGACCATACTACATCCTTTGTATACTTTGACACACAGATGTATGTACCCTCCCAATCACTGATATTTATTTCAGGAGAGCTGAGAGTTACTCTCGAGGAACGTGGAAAAATGTCCTCAGTTTTTGCCCCAGAATTACTACGACACTCCTTAATTCTGATCCTCATTTTCTTCATTAACATGTATCACGTATTTTCTATTGTCATCCTTCTGCCAGATGTTCTTCTAAACAACTACTGCTCCGCTTCTTCATTCCTCGGGAGTGAAACTAATGCTAAGGGCTGTGAAGTTCTTACCCAGGGTGATTATGAAATTCTTCTTGTTTCAGCCCTGCTTTCGGTTCCCGGGTTCTTATTGGGTACTGTTTTGGTTGAGAAACTGGGACGAAGGAAAGCATTCGTCGTCACAGCGTTCGCACAAATCATTTGTTTCTGCCTAGCGTTACCCTGCTGGGGCACCTGGTTTCTTTACATGGCCCTTGGGGCAATGATCATTTCATCCACCACCTTCAACCAGATCTTATGGATCTACACTCCCGAAAGTTATCCCACTTATATCCGAAACACAGCGGTTGGCACACTGAATGCTCTCGGAAAACTGGGAGCTGCTTCTGGTACTTTCGTCGTCGAAACTTTGGATGCAAAGGATATTCGAGGAAGTCTGGGGACTTTTATTGCATTAGGGTTTATACTGTTGGCGGCTACCTTCCTGTTGAAGAAAGAGACAAGAAACCAAGTTCTACAAGATACGAGAGAACAACAAGCCGGGCTAACTTACGCTACTTTGCAGGACTCCCATATCTGAACACAATTTGTGGTCACGTGATAGCATAATGAATATGATTGGGCGCTGATGCATGTTGATTGGTTAATCGGTGTCACGTGTTCCAACAAACTTGTGTCATACTCGCATGAAGTGGAGGTTGTCATCCATCGCAGATTTGAGATTTGTTTGAATGGTTAACAGGTTAATGTAGAGGTAGGAAGGATAGTGTTGCTTGTATTATATCGTGGATCTAGACTGTTTTTGAACATATTATATTAAAGAAATATTACCAGAATCTGAGAATCATTTACTTGTGTATGTTGCTGTGCAACAAGTTAATTTATTTATGGGACTTCTTTAAAATTCTTTATTGTCGCATTCTCAACAAATTTCTCGATTGTTTTGAATTATTAAAATTTTCTTTGCCAGTAACTGTACTTTAATTTGTGAAGGCTATATTTTAAGTTGTTTCCAATCAGAGCTTCTTTAAAAGTTATTTGATGGAATTTTCTGTAAATTTTGCATTAATACTTACTACTTATAACACTATCGTATAATTATTAATTTATATTGTCAATATTTTCATAATATTAACGATCCCATATGAAGATATTATCTTCACATGGGATCGTTCAAATATTATGTAAGCAATTTTACAACCCCAATCCGTAATTCATGGCAGTTTACATTGCATATTACACTAGCGTCTAGCATACGACTACCCCAAGAGGCTAACTTACATAATATTATGTGAACGATTCCATATGTAGAGCAGTGATCATATTAACGTAGTAACATTTATTTATTTTAATCTTTGACAATGAGTACATTACTAGTTGAGGTTTTGTTTAAAATTTCTAGGATTAAATCTCATTGAGTCTGAAGACAGTTAGTGAACTATGTATGTACTATCAATTTCGTTATTGTAACGAGGAATGAACACATTGCATTTGCACTGTTTCATTTATATTTAGTCTGTATTTACTTTTTTAAAGTATTTTTTTGTTGGTACAATATTACATCGTAGTTGGGCAGTGTCGTTCCCTCAAATTGGTAAAACCAGCGATCCTTACGTGTCTAGGTCGTGGTGCAGCAAATATTAACTATAGTGCATCTGGGAAACTAAAACATAAAATATTCTTACAATACAAATTTCCTCGCAATACAAATTTCCTTACAATACGAGGGAATACCGCAGTTAAATACGTTAATTATCTAGCTCATTTTATTGAAGTGTATGTTTTATTTTTGGATTATTATATTTTTGTGTGGCTATTATTCCAATTATTTGTAGAATTCAAGTATTGAACTATTTCTTTCAAAGTTTTGTTTTTTATTTCTTGGTCATAAAAGGGCGTGGATTCAGTTAAAATTTCATTAATTGATTTATCTAAAGGAATTTCATATAAACATAAAAAATAGAGCAAAATCTACGATAATATCATAAAAACTCTTCATATTTACATTTTATACATTGTATCCCGGAACAACGTTCATCTCGTTAACTCAACATTTGTGGAAATAAAAGAACTACCCATCACAACAAACCTCAAGGCACCTGACCCACAATGTTTGGAGTCAAATGTTTTTAACACTGATGGTCCATGTAAGTTACACTTTATCTAATGTTACCACTTCAAAAACAAATAACTTAAATTCACATATTAATCAAACGACTCATTGTGCCACTTCGAGTGGCGGTAGTCTTTGTCCATTTGACAGTGGTCTGTTAATTGAGTGCCTCAACTCATCTCTCAGTCTCTTTATCTCGGACTTCTGAATGTCGACTATTTTCTTCGTCTGGTCAAGCTCTTCAGGAGATATTATAGGGCCGATTGGTAGGGCTCCTTTCTTCAAGACATTGCTGTTTGCTTCCAAGTCGTGAACCTGGGATTCGTGGTGTTAAATAATTGGATTTCAATAATTATTTTTCTCATAATCGGTATCAAGCAGTTGCTCATCCGTAATAAACTCGATCGATGGCGTGTAAAGAATTATGAATCAAAATATTAAATTTCAGTTTACAGACACGTTCACACTATACAATATACATATGACTTAGAAAAATGTGCACGACACAGTTTTATACAAATCAGACCTTCTTGTTCTGATCCAAATTCAGAGCATATTTTAGGGATGATATCTGTTGATACGTGGTTAGTACAAACACATTAGGAAATTAATTTGGTTTCGTTCAATGCGGTTCGCTAAGAATTCATGGCACAGTCTAACTTATAAAACCAGTAATTCGATAATGGCCGCTTTAATCGACGAACGTGGCTTGTAACTGTGGTTTGTGCAAAGGAGTCATTCCACAAGTCTCTAGAATGCTGTTAAAACTCCAGCAGGTGCATTCGATCAGTCAGCTGTGTTTTATTTGAATGCTTCAGCCGATATATGGCATTTCTTCAGATAATTCAAAACCGTGTTATGACGATTTGTTTGGTGAAGGAAAACTCTGGTTGCTATGACAACGCGCACATAGTACGCTGAAAATGTATACTTTAGACGCGCGCGACGTTAAAATTTGCTAGTTTTTGTTGCGCTCTGATTCTTCCCAAAGAAAATAATATCGTCACTAGCTTCAAAACCGAATAAAATGAAATAATGCGGTTACCTGAGTTCTAGCTATTTTCAGTTCGCGGCGAAGATCATTGATTTCTTTGATAAGAGACACATTCTCCTGAAAAACAAATGCTTGTTTTGAATATAAACATAAATTTATTAACAATAACAAGAGTCATTTTAGAAAATTACCGATTCTTTTAGACTGTATTATCAAGAGCTTTGAGAGCTTTAATGAAATGATCAAAATGATGACGAAAAAATTGAAACCATGAACAACAATATAAACAATTGCACACACCTGCATGATTCTGACGTTGTCAGCTCTATGAATTTGCTGATCTTTGGTAAGTTTCTTTCTGAATGAGGCCACACTTCGTTCCAAGTGATCTCTCTGTCGAGCGTACTCTTTCTGGATGTCCACATCCATACCAGCAGCTTCAACTGCCTATAAAAGGTGCGTGTAAAACAAACATGATTATAAAGTTATCATATTTCAAATTTGTGACGTCCGCCGTACAAACAAATTTCAAAAAAAGTAATGTGCCATGACCATGGTAACAAAACAAACGCGCTGCATTATTGTTTTATGGATTTAGCTGGAAGGTTCTTTGAGAATAAGTGGTGTATTGTTACATACTGCAGTAAATCGGGGTTTTACTGTAATATTAATCGATTTGAAGAAAACAATCAGCACGGAAAGAACAATACCTGTTCACTCTGGACGTATTTCTTGTTTAATTCCACAATCTTAGTCTTCAGTTTCTGTGGATCTTGGATGTACTGAACACAATTGCTGACATCAGTTCTGAACCTCTTGAGCTCAGCTTCCATATCATGAACTTTCTGTCTCTGTACTGCCATCTCTTCTTTATTAGCCTTCAGCTTCTGTTTGGATTCTTCAATCTTCAGATCAAGAGCAGTATTATTCTTGTTGTATCTTTCAAGCTCTGTGTCCATTTCCTGGATCTGATCTTTCATTGCCTTGATATCATTTTCACGTGGCTCAATCTGCTTCTTCAGTTCTCGAATCTTGTAGTCCAAGACAAATTTGAATTTCTCGAGCTCTTGGTTCTTCTTCTTCAAATCATAGATCCTCTTTTCTTTGTCCTGGATAGTTTCGTCACGTTCTTGGATTTCTTTCTTCAGTCCCAAAATATCCTTCTCAAGAGATTTGATCACACCATTCAATTTGTTCTTCTCAGTATTCAGGTTATTAATATCTGATTTCAGAGCCTCAATCTCTTGTTCTTGAGACTTGAACTTCTTCTTCATGATGCCAGTTTCCCCGGTGAGTCGCATGTTACCCTCCTTTTCTTCCCTCAATCTTCTTTCGTACATGTTCTTTATATCCAGAATTTCACGATCCGCATCTTCTTCGATCTGTTTCTTCGTTTCCTCGTGTATCCTCATAGTCTGCCTCATTTCGTCGTGAGCAGCTTCCAATTGTCCAATCTTCTCATGAAGTTTTGTCTCATACTGTTCCGTTTGCTCGCGAAGGGCCTGCTTGTGTGACTCGGACTTGGCAGAAAGTTGACGTTCATACTCTTCCTGCATTCTCTGACTCTTGGCTTGCAATTCCTGGTATTTCTCGTATTCTGCCATTAGTTTCTGATTGTTAGCTGACTCAAGATCCTGGAGCTCTTGATGTTGTCGCTCAATCAGCTCCTGTCTCTCCTCCTCATGCTTAGCTTCTTCTTTGTCCTTGTCAGTTTTCAAAACTTGGTTCTTTGTTTTCAATGATTCCATTTCCTGGATGAACTTCTCAGTGAGCTCTTTAGTCTTCTCGTGATGGTTCATATCCTTCAACCTAAGCTGATATTCATTCTCCATGTTCAACTCATAAACACGGGTCTTCAACTCTTTCATCGCAGTGTCTTTCTCTTGAAGATCAGACTTAGAAATTAAAATCTCCTCAGCGTAAGTAATATCCTTCGCTTTCAGACCACGGCCCTCTTTGTCCATGATCTTGAAGGTGTATAGACAAGCATCCTCTCCAACAGTAAAGAGGAACCCGTCATCGTATGATATCCTCATTTTAGTGATAGAAGAAGCATGGCACTGATGTTCAGTCCATTCTCCTGGTACAGTGAGAGGGAACTTCATGGCTCTGATAGAACCCTGAGCAGTACCCACGAAGAGCATGCGACCGGACCGTGATATGGCGACTTGAGTTAGAACAGTGTCAGCAGCGGGAACTTCTCTTTGTATCTGGGAATAGTTTACTGGGTTAGATAAATTAAAAAGGGTATAAAATTGAACAGAATCTTTTTATGTAGTTAGATTTACAATAAATAGAAGTCATCAATGTTGAAAATGAGATAATTTCAGATACCACGAGATATCATTATTACAGTTCTATCGAAAAATTTAAAGACATTCCATTTACCTGGGAGTCAGAAATCTCTTTGAGTGTCTTATCAGAACCAACAGCAAAAGTAGTGCCTCCCTCGGGCGAGACAGCAGCACAAGTGTAGGAACATGTCTTCAGAACACTCTCACCCTCACGCTTGCTCGTGTACACACTCCATTCGTAGACCGCACCGTCAACACCACAAGAAATGATCTTGCTGTCGTCCTGCGACCAGACGATGCTGCGCACTTTGCCGTTGTGGCCCTTGAGGTTGCCCACGTTCTCGAAGGTGTAGGTAGCGTAGAGTTGAATAACGTTGCCGTGCACGGCTGCGAACAAGTGTCCTCCGTTACTGAACTGGCACTGAAATGGTACAAATTTAGTAAATCAGGTACCTGGAGAATCTTCCATTTCAAGTTCTCAAATACGCTTAATTTAGTTTTACTATTTTAAAGCCGAATTTATATATTATATTGTTGTTTATCAGCACCAGCCACCACGAGAAATGTATTTTATCGAAGGAATAAAAATATGATATTGTTGACTGATTATGTCAAAATTCTTTAATCATATTAGTATATTATGACTTTTTTCTTAATGCATTAATCGATAATCCCAGATTTGAATAGAATGCTGAATAATGGACTCTTAAGTTAATTCACCCATTTTCTTGAAATAGCTTAGCAGTGGTTAACCACTGGCACTTCCACCACCATACTGACCAATTATCTTTTAACCTAGTTTGTACTTTTTTAAACCAATAATACACTTTGTTAGTGAATTTTTCTATGATGTTTAGTAATGGTATTAGTTATTTAACCTCATTATGTTATGAAACAGTACAAATCATTTCAAGGCTATTGGCAATTTTGTAATCTAATGAAAGGTTTACAAAGGTAATTGATTTACTTTTAAAGTTTTAAGCCTAACATTTGTGGAAATATCCGTTATAGTTCGAGTTTTTGTTAAGTTATTGTGTCAAATACATCCTTAAATATTCTGGTATCAATCAATTAACAAACAATTCATGATGCATTGTTGGTTTTGTTCTGGACTGACAAATTGTAAAATTCAATTGTGGTGAACTAATTACACATATTAGTATTCAGGAATTTATAGATATTAGTATTTATAACACGCTTCGTCAATAAAAAACATTGGCCTCGTTGACCGGGATCAAACCGAATGCGAGCGCTTACATTTTTTTGCAGTCGTTCATTATCTTGGCCCTTTTTATTAGATTTTGTTTAATAAGTGATCCTACTACAAAGTAAGACCTGAAAAAGGAGTTTACTAGGCTTCAGGTATAGCGCCGTGTAGCCTGCATAAATTTTGTATTTCCTTAGAGAGCCACGTGACTTATAGAAATTTTCTATTTGCGGTGTAGAAACTAAGCCAAATACTCATTACCCAATGACAATGAATTAGTGTGACACACCGGTGCGTTTGAAGTTTAGCTTTTGAGTTGCCAGCCCTAAAATTGATGCCAGTTAAATTGCTATCTTTTTTAATTATAATTTGATAATGCAATAATTTCTCTTGACTTTTATATTCCGCTAATACGCATTGATTTAGCCGTGTTTTTGCTCAAATTTCGCTGACTCGATAATTTCATTCAGCAATCAGCTGACTCCCTGATTTCTGAATAGTGGAATGCCAGGCCCAGGGGAAGATGAGGGTCCTCCACTTCCCCCTGCAATACCGACTCGACGTAGAAAGAAGGATGATTCAGGCAAGAAACCCAAACGAAACCCAATTCCAACACCGGCTTCCTCGGCAATATTTCCTCCACCCCAATCAACTCCCTCTGAACAAGACCAGGGACCTTCAAATGAAAAGCCTAAGGAAAGTATGAAATCTACGGAGGAGATTAAACCTGGTCCATCGAAGGACACTTCCAAACAAGATGACAAACCACAGTCAAGTAAAGAATCACCCAGGCTCACACGAAGACAGACTTTAGCCAAATTGTTGGAGAGAAACCAAACTCGAGTTACTCGCCTTGTTGAGAACTTTATGGAAGAAGTTGTAGACACAATAAATGCACGTGATAGGTTTAACGAGAGAACAAACATTGAGATGGATGAGGTATCTCTGTGTTCCAGCGACGATGAATCTGTCAGAGTTCCTGTTGATCGAGAAAATTCCATTTACGCATACGAACCGTTGGTGCGGTTCCGGAAACTGGTGGAGATGAATGAAGAATACATCTTGAAGAAGGGAAAACAGAATAGATTCAAACAAAGACTCCCCGAGAGAGACACGTCAACATTACAAGGACAGATCAGGGTTAAATTGGATATTTTGTGTCTGAAAATTTCCGATGGAGTCGAAGACACGGGTGATGCAATAGACGACGCTCGGTTGATAGTTTGGAGGAAACTGAGGGATACGGCAACCGGAATCAAACAAAAGGGAGGTCAAGCTGTTCTTGGGAAGGCCTACTCGATGTTTGGGGACATTCTGAAAGACATAGACGATAGAAGACACCCAATCACAGGAATTCCAAAGTTTGTCAGCGACGACACGCCAGACCCTCACGCAGCTTTCAGGTATCTCGATCAAATGGCAGCAGAGCAAGGCATAGGAATGTACACAGAAGAATTCGTTCCGATCGAGTACGACGAATCAAGACTACAAAACATTCTTGACATAGTTGACCCAGAGGAGAAAGATGAACTGGGACAAGGTATAATTCATTTGGCAGCTCAGTATTGCAACCGAAGCACTTTGAATTGGATGATAGATAGCGGCTATGATTTAAACTTAGAGGATTCCAGAGGATACACACCCCTTTTCTACGCAGTAATGATAAACAACACAGACACTATTAACATCCTGATTAGGAATGGTGCTTTTATTAACCATGCCTCAGGTGAACTCGGGCGCCAAGCTATTCATATTGCCGCCCAGTATGGCTGCCTTGATGCCATGAAAATGCTGCTGGATTACGGAGCAAGTATTGACTGTCCTGACGAGAATTATCATACCCCAATCGTAATATCATCCTACTATTCCCACTCTGAAATCTCAGCTTTTCTATTGGAAGAAGGGGCAAATCCTTGCATTGAGGACAAATCCGGTATCATGGGTGCGATGAGAATAGCTTATACCATGCCGACAATCACAAGAGAAGTGTTCAACCAGTTTGTAACGGAGGATTTATACCAGGGTGAACGGTACTACAAACTGGATAGGATGCTGGGAAGTTGCCCTGACACCAACACCTCCTTCTACCACTACCTGGTCTGGCTGTCTAACATGGGCCTCATTGAGCATCCAATGTTTGAGAGGCTCACAGCTGCTAAGTGGGAGATGTACGGAAAAGCTCGGGCAAACATCAAACTGTCATTTGTGGGGCTGTACCTGTTTATTTGGAGCTTGCTTTATGTTATGGACTACAGGGATTTCCTGAAGAGCGATTTCAAGTTCACGTTTGGTGATGGGTTTTACTTGTTGATGCTCATTGCATCAACTGGGGCATATGTCTGGAGATCAAGGCAGAATATCAGCCTTCTTCGTCAGAGGTACGGATACACTGCGTTCCTAAATGATCTGTTTGAGACCACATATCAACAGGAACTCTCTAATCTCCACTTCAAAGGTAAAAGAATGGACCTGTTCTTGACAAGGAAGTATGGCCGGAAACAGATCACGATATTTGACGACGTCAAGTCTTCTCCAGCTGTATTGCTTGACTTTGTGGTGGACAACCTGCTCATGATATACCTGATTCTCAACATTTCCTGCTCAATCTTTGGCAACCTCCACACAGATCCCAACGTGTTGGGACAGATGAACGAAGCTGAACGACCCTGGAAAGGACCAACTAGTTACGTCACTTGGGTGGACATTTACGGAGCCATTTCCATCATGGCACTGTGGATTACCTGCTTCTTTAAACTGCAGATAACAAAAAAAGTAGGCCCCTTCGTTGTGTACATGAGGTACTGTGGCAAGGATCTCAGCACCATAGCAACCATGTTTATAGCTCTCTACATTCCAGCTTTCTGTGTCTTCCTGAAAACCACGTACACTAATGATAGCTGGTACGAAGGAATGTTCCTAGTTCTCAGAATGGTTTTGATTGATTACGACTATGATAAAGGGGTCGACGACAGCTCCGTAAAAATTTGGTGGATGATTCTCTCCATGGGATGGATCGTGGTCTCATCGGTCATTGTTCTCAACTTATTGATTGCTCTGATGGCTGACAGCTACTCTAGAATCTTTGAGACGGCGGAGTTATATGCGCGAATCGAGCGCGGCAGATTCATCATGGAGTACGAGCGCACAATTCCAAGCAAACGGATGGGTGAATTCAATGATGCGATCAGAATGGATTCACCTCAGATAGTTTCATTTGATCCCGTTTGTGATAGAGACAAAGTAAGCGTCATTGAGGAGACGGTTGAAGGTTTGGCCAAGAAATTTGAAAAGTTAGAGAGACATCTTGACAACAAGATACTGAAAGAGTTGAATCACAGACTTGATACCATTGATCAGTCACTGACTTTGTACTCATTCCGATCATAAGAGATTGAGTTACTAGCTATTATAATTAGGTGGACAATTTAAATATTTGAAAAAATTAGTTTTTTGTTAATTGAGATGTTAAAGTCGTCAGTGACATAAAAATGTACAAACAAATCAAGACTATAAAATGGGCACATCCAGTATCTTGATCCGATGAACTCTTAAAGCGTACAGTAATAATGAACTTCTTTGATGTTTTGATTATTTGGGATTTGATCACCATTTTGAACTATTTAATTACCTGAACCAGTTTTTCTCAATAAGGTATAATTCCCATAAAAATGAGTACACACTACACAACAGGACAATAAACATGATTAAGAACCACATACCTCGCGACAGCCACGAATAGTGAACTCTTTGAAAGGTTGAATATCGTCGATGAGGATGTTCATAAGTCGGAGTTTGTCACTGAACCCAACTAGAACGTACAGTCCAGATGGATGCAGGGCGACACTGAATGCTTCCTCTTGGAATTCCTTTGTCAGGTCCAGAGAACTGTAAATGTTTCCCTCCTTATTATCATGTACCAATATAACAGTGTTCAACAAAGTGCGATTTGCAATGATCCACTCTTGTAAATAATTAAAAGCGGCAATAAAAATTATCAATTTCTGATGAGCTACTTACTTGTTCTCGTAATTCCAAATCCTCACAGTCCTATCGAGTGAGCAAGTAGAGACAAGCGGCTTCCTGATACACACATCTAGACCAGTTATCTGATCGTAATGGAAAGGCTGAGACAGGGTCTCAAACAGAGACTGCTCTCCTTTAGAGATCTCTGCTCCAGTCAGTCCAATGGTGTAGAGCTGGTTGTTGCGAGTTCCGGCGATGATGGTCTCTTCAGACGGACTGATGGTCATATGCATTATCTCGTGTAGCGCACCCTGGGCAAAGTTCTGTTAGTAAAAACTCCACTTAAATTATCTTCTTGCTTTACAACAGTTATGTTGTCCACGATTCCCTAAAATATGTTCTTTTCCCGATGTATATGGATTGTGGACTATGTCGACCACCTAGATCGGGCATTGTAGAATCTGCTGTTCTTGCGTGATGGGCTTCCCTGGGTACCCATTAGCTAGATCTGTCACCTTACAGTAAGCAGGACACGGCATTAAATGGAACGTATTATGAGGGCATGTGAACATGGTGAGGATTGAGGGCAGTTTCTTTGGGAGTGAAAGTTTCTAGCTAATCATAGGAGAATTTAACAATAACAACAAGGCCTCTCTGTTATTTCTTAATGTGTGTACAATACTGATTATTAAGATTACTTTTCTCTCTTACCAAGTCACATAAATCAAGAACAGGTATACAACTATAGTCAATTCTTTTAAAAAGCTGATTATGATCACAATATAAGAACTGTGTTTACCTTCATATTGGCAGTAGCCTGAGCGGAGTCAGCAGAAATAGGAATCCTAATTTCCCTTGCTTTCTTGTACAGCTCCCTCTCATCGGTCTTCTCGTACATGTAGACCACACCGTTACCCGCACTGCACAGGAATCCCTTGGAGTATTTAGTTACACAGAGGACGGGAGTCTGTGCCCTCATCGCACTCTCACTTGTCTCACTTTGTCCTGCTGTACCACTCCTGAAAAATCAGTTCGTTATTATCGACTTGAAGCACTCAAGCGGCTCCAGCTCTACGATGTGTAAATTTTTCGGGCGGCCACAGACGCCAGACGATATAAGTTATGATTCCTCGGTGTTTTCATGTGCACGTTTTGCACTATGCGGGGGACAGTGGTTGCTTATGAAGCAGATTGCATATGTAACCGCACACTACGTCACGACAATCATCTGTTCTTATGGTTGAATTATTGCACAAGACTGTCGGTATAACTTCAATTTTCAAACCGACATTATTTCTTCAAGGCATAACTGGTAACATTCTCCAAATCGTTTGCATCCCCGACATCCCATTCCTCATCACCTTTACACTTGTAAGTATTGAAATTCAACCAAAAACTAAATAGATGCATGCCTAATTCAGTCAAAGCTTCATTCGCCTTCCTATATTAAGCTGTATCATGTCAGTAGGTGGATTTATTTACAATTTTTGTGTTAGTCCTCATTTTGATAGAGGCTAGCATACTGAGTTGCATTGAAGCGCAGTGATATTCTTGCATAAGTGAAAAGTAATGTAACGTGGCTGTCGAAAGATGCTAACTGTGCGAGTTATGGGCGGTATTTATTATGAAAAATGTAGTTTAGGTGCGGTGTTTCTCAATGAAATATGTAGAAAATGTGCGGAGAATTAAGGCAAATTATGATAATATATTATTCTTGAATTGTGCTAATACTGCTATTGCATTAAATTGGCTATTTCAAGACCAAAGTTCTATAAGTAGGAGAAAGTGGTGCGATCCTGTCAGATTTTAAAGCTTCTTGGCTACTTCAAGATCAAAGTTCTATCAGTTAGCAGAAAGTGGAGCGATCCTGCCAGATTTTAAAGACCTCAACTCGGCTTGTCAGAGATTTGACCGGACGAACCAATGGGATGCAGATGGAGATTCACTGTATAATCTAACGACAATAATTGTCAAATGGAATAACTTTCATGCGTGCCCGAAAATGTGCCAATTGCCAAAAACGTCATATAGTGTAGCATCCACCACACTTATATTTTGGCCATACACGGATTGGTTTATCTGAGAATTTGCACTTACCCACCACTCGAAATATTTAGTGGAAAACGACTGAAAATATATATAGAAATTAAGCAACTTCTCCCAATGTGTAAAAGGTTTAATTTCTATCCTGTTGGTTACGTATGAAACTGAAAAGACAGACTACTGAACTGTCCACACACCACGTCGTATATATGCAACCAAGCAAATGTTTCACTCACAACTTTAACTCCATGCTAATGCAACCACATATTTATTATTCCAACTTTCCAACCTAGGGTCCGATTCCCCCAAATTTAAGTATTTTATACCATAAAGTTATCTAAATCATTTTAATCCTTCACGAATTTCAGTAAATTTTATAAAAATCTGTCAAGATTAGGGCTTGTTGGGCATTTGTAAATCTAAACTGAGAACCTACCTCTCACCACCAGTGCTGTCTGGAGCAACAGGGGAACTGACATGGAAGTCCTTCTTGTGTTCTTGTCCCTCGAACAGCAGCATTCTCCCTGTATCTGTACCAACTATGATACGGTCCTCGGATAGCCAGCTGTGGCACAAGAAGTTCTGGGGTTCAATCTTTTGGATAGGGTTCGCTTTGAGAGTGCCATCGTTGAACTTGTAAGTTTTGAAGACACCGTTACCTACCACACAGAATTGGGCGTTGTCGTTGGGGTTGAAGGATACCTGGAAAAGGGAGGTTTCATTCAATATCATTTCTTACGAATACAAGTTATAACATAATCTAGGCAGGTAGCTGATAGATGACACATTACAAAATTATTATTTTGCAGCACTAACATTGGCACTACAACACTGAATGTCTAAACATGACAAATTCAAGGACAACATTATAATCACCAACCTGGTAAACTTCATTGCTGACATTAGTGGATGTCCTGATAGAAGCCATGGGTTTTGGCTTCTCCCAAGCCCAATAAAGCAGCGTCCAATCAGGTCGGGCACCTTGAGACACTAGATACTTGGAGTCAGGAGAGAAAGCCAGACTGACATACTGCTGGGACTGAACATCGGTTGTTGTCAGCACTTTCTTCTTTCGGAGTGTCTGCAGATCATAGATGGTGATGGTAGCCTTTTCTCCTTTCTCTGCGACAGCAATGTATCTCTTGTTGGGTGTCAGAGCCATCGCTGTCATGCCCCCACTTTTCTCAATACTTGAGATGAATTTCTGGGTCTTGGTCTCGATGTTGTAGAGGATACAGTTGGACCCCGAAGGGTAGATGATGGTCTGCTCATCTTGGAAAGCTACGTTGTTCGCGACGTCTCCCTTGAGACCGAAGACATGCCTCAAGTTGGCGATTGCGATAGACATGACTTCTGAGTTACTCCTCTACATCCGAACACTTTCCTATAAAAGTAGTTAGTTGAGTGAGTTATTAGTAAGTTACACAATTTTAAACATATATATTATTATTGTTTTTGATTCAAAAACCGATGTATTTGGTTGCAAATTATAATTGATATTGTATTTATGTGGTAATCATATGACCGTCCAATGAAACAACATTTCGACTTTAACATGTATTGAGTCTCATAAAATCGCCAAAGTATCACATGCACATAATATAAAATTTGCACTTCAAAAAAGCTAAATATAATTTTGTGGAGGATCTGACTGGTGCATGACGCTGTACACTTATTTGCAGAGGAATCATCAAGTAGTGCAGGACTCAGTAGTGTAACTCGAGCTGTGTTTTAAATATATATGGATATGAGAGACAAACGGTTGCCATGGCTTATAATTTGATTGTGAATTCTTCTTACAGCTTACTCGAGACTCACAGGTTGGGTTCATAGGATCAGACGAGATATTCCTAATGGAATAAAGATTTGTACTTTTTAGGTCTCTTATTCATATGTCGATCTTGAGTCGATCGACTCTTTATTTTGATAAGTAATGATATGATAATTCTGTTACATATGAATGTGCATTGTGCATGAAAAAAATCAGATAATATTTACACTCAAATAATGTCTACATAATGTAAAATCGAAAAATTATTTCCAAGGTATGAGACTATAAAAGATTAAGATTGAAAGTTAATAGTTTGGAGAGCACAGGATTTGCTTTGTGGATCCACAGTTCTACCCTCTCAAAATAACATTATAAGCTCTCTCACCTTACGTTTTGTCCATTTCAATATCACAATCAATTTTGTTTATGTACATGTTTTCACAGTATCTTAAAAAATCCACACGGAAGCCTGAACCAAATAATTTAACAGTCTACCAAGGATCTGTATTCTCAGTTGTTCACGCAGCTCTCGTAGGTTGGCACCATGTATTTTATGTTGATGAAAGCATCAGGTCCTCCGTGCGTCTCGAAGGCTTCCAGAGTTTCCTGGATCAGGTCGCCGACATTTTCACGTCTCTGTTGGCTGTAGTCGATCCCATCTCCTTTGTTGATGTTCTTGTTTTTGAAGATGTTGAGGATGGGAAGAATCTGTCGGTAGTATGGAACTAGAGCTTCTCCGATGCAGTTAGCAGATATAACAAGGTGCTGGAGGATCTTGAGAGAAGTACAAACGCTTGACTTCTTTCTCGTGTTCAGGGCATTCTTTATCGGGATGATAAGTTGAGGGATTACTGGAAGAACTTTGTGGGAACCATGTTCCAGCATATCGTGGACTCCTTGTCGGGAGAAGAACTCGTAAGGGTGAGTCACCTCACAAAGTCCGTCGAAGAAAAGTGGGAGATAATGATGGAAATCTAGCTTCTCAATTTCTACTTTCCATGCGATCTTGTTACCTTTGGTATCGTGCTCTAACTGGATGGGAAAGTCTCCCCTTTCGTAGAATTTTCTGAAAGATGTGGGTTTGGCTGGCCGCTCCTTGAAAGCATTAGCACTTGGGGGACCTCTTACTTTGGTATTTTTCATACCAGCTTTGAGGGTGAAACCTTCTGCTTCCTCATCCTTGGATTTCTTAAGGGTTCTATTGACCGGTACCAGAACTTGTGAAGCCATTTGGTAGATCCTATGTGGGTGAAAAGTTAGAACCGTTGAATCATAAAATTACAGTCATCCATCATCAATTAAACTGATATTATTGCCAAGCACAGCAAACGGATCGCACAAATGAAACTCCATTCAAATACACAATTTCAATCCATTGGTCGTCAAAAAGAGTATAAGTTTGCAATAACAGCACAAAAGAAACCTGCTGGAGATGTTCTGTAATCTGTACTGTTCTGTAATCTGTACTGCCTCACTCATTCGAAATCAAGAATGCGATATGTTGTGACATAGAGTTTTAATGAAATACACGAAAACAAAGCAAATAACGATTTCCAAAGTAGCTGGTTTAAGAAAACGGATTATTTAATGAGTAAGCTACGGGAAAATTTTATAGCTTGTTTTTACATCGAACAGACATTACCCATTTACAGATATCAATAAATGCGGTGATTACTGCTGGTGCAGGTGCAGGTGGTTGTTAAATGTTAATAGGACTATATTGTTGGGTAGTTGATAGCCTATAAGTATGTTGAAATAAAGTAACTAGTGGAAGAAGTTCGGAGCACTGCATGTTACAGGTCAATGCGAGCAAGAGTAGCAAAAGACGATAACAAACACATGAAAACTATTCGATTGCACTTATATCAAGGTTACCATGGATATAATTTTCGATCTCTACTGACGGCGCGCGCGAGTTCAAACGCTTGCGGACGAATCAAAGCTCAGCTCATATAATTGCGCGGCTTACCCGCCAGATCATATTATCTTGATGTATTATGTGTACAATGTGTAATTGTATAAGAGCAATATTTTACCATTGTCCAAGTAGCATACAATTTATAATTTCACTTATATTATGATCTTGATAGGATTTAAGTTCTACCCCAAATGCATGAATATATGATAATTGAATAAATGATAATTAATTGAATATATGATAATTGATATACAAGTTTTTACATAGCCATGTACGTGTATACGCGTACTGCGTGTTACTGGGCCGCGCTCAGCCTGTCATTCCGCCTAATCTCTATTCGGTTATGTTTATGAACATAATAGCCTGAGGTCCCCAGGTAAACTGCGTGACGCGTTTAAGTTTCACAAGTAGAATATATCAGCGGTCGCGCGCTACTACAACATACAAGCAATAGGGCTCTGATTAGAGCAAATAATATGTAATAGTTGTAGTAAGTAAATTATTGGATGCGCGGCGCGGACCAGTAATGCATTGCGCTACAATTGAAATTTAGACGACAAACAAGTAACATCCGTCAGCGCTAAAATTAACATAACAATGTACAGTACATTTTTCATGCCAGCGTTGCAAAATTAAAATAAAGATTGTACTTGGCTTGAGCTTGATTGACGCGGAAATGTTGACCATTGTTAATGATCTGGCCCGGCGCGCGCTACTTCGTAGCTCGTGCCGCCGAGAAGAAAGCGGCGCGCGCTACTTCGAAGAAATTTAGACGAGTAACATCCGTCAAGGAAAATGTCAACCTTTTAAAATAATATTATAATATTGCTCTGCCATTTGCCATGCGGGCGAAGCAAAGGCCAAAGCTGAAGCAACTTGTCATACGTTGACCCTTCACATAGCCATGTGCCTACGCGTACTGCGTGACGGTGGTCGCGCGCTACTGCAAGCGAGAGGGCTCTGGTTAGAGCAACGTTGACCCGACGCGCACGAGTGCGCGGCTCCCCCTGTATATATAGTGTATCGTTGAAACTCTACAGTGAAATCCGACAGAGTGGGTCAAGACGTGATACAAAAAGCAACGTTTTCCGAGCCGAAGCAAGGTTAATAGTTTACCTAGCGTATCGAAGCGACGACGTAATAAAGTAAAGTAAAATAATTAAATTTTATTCACACTGAATTATGGGTTTTAAAATGTATTTTTAGTTTTAGTTGCTCTAGTTTTTGAATAATTTTGTTTCATTCGCAATTCGTTAAATTTGCTTTAAGTAGAACAAAGATTTAGTTCAAATGCTTTAATTATAAGAGTATTATACCCAACATTGACCGGCGAACTGATAGCTACTTCAGAAGCAATGAAACTACAATCTTCTAGATAAAATGAGTCATAGTACTTTCAGCCGGAGCCATCATAAGTGACATAAATCTAAAAGATAGTATGGTTAGTTTCTAAATATAAACTCAAACTCTGAAAAGGAAACTGCCGTGAAATATGAAACATCAATAAAAGGACCATTTATTTAAAAAAAATAATTTATGGAAAGCCCCTCAGACAAAATAAAAATCAATTATGCAATAAAGGAATCTTAAAAGGGTTTGTACTATTCATTCCTGAGGGGCGGAGGGAATTTAAGGCATGTATATATCGGTGCTCCTTAACATCTAAACTACTAGGACTTGAATTTTCTAGGATACACACTGAAACACTATTGTTAAAATTTTCCTTCTGAGTCAGTCCATGCTCTATATGGAGGTGGAGTCCTACGCAGTTTGAGTCATCATCCGTGTCAACCTTTTGCCCACTGATGATCTTGTAGAATGCTCTTCTGTGTTCGCCAAACCTTACCCGTAGCATTCTGGTGGATTTGCCTACGTATGGTTTCTCACACAGTTTACATCTGATCAAATATATGATGTTGTAAGTGATGCATGTACCTGGTGCTGGTTTTACCCGTTTCCCATTGATGCTGATTTGTGTAGCACTATCAATAGACTCACACGTTGCACAGTTCTTCTTTCTACACGGCCTTGTTTGACCATGCTTATTCCCCAGAGCTATTTCTTTCACCTTAACCAACCGGCTTTTGAGGTTGCTTCCTGTTTTCTTGACAAATTGGAAGAACTTTTTGCCATTCTTCTTTTCTTCAAGGGTGTTACTCTGTTGTTTTGAGTCACTCAGGTTACAAAAACTTCTGGTCTTCTTTAAGTTCTCCTCATACTTTTTCACTGTGGTGACAATGTCAGAGTCACTTCCGTAGGTTGAGACAACCCTTATTGGTAGGATCTCTGGCTTCAGTGTGTTGTCCTTGGGAGGTCTTCGTTCAAGGTTTCTTTCGGAGTTGAGAACTTTTTTGCTAATGTTGTTCACCATTTTTGAGGGATAAGCAGCTGCCTTGAATGCTTGGCTTAATTCACTCAATCTGGTTTCCAGTCGTTCTTGTGAGTTGATTATTCTCCTGAGTCTGATACACTGGCTGTAAACTATTCCACTATAAATGTGGTTTGGATGTGCACTGCTAAAATGTAGATAGCTCCTTGAATCTGTTTCCTTGATATGGAGGTCAGTTTGTAAGTTTCCCTCAGGGTCGAAACAAAACTCGATATCTAGAAAAGCCACAGGCGTGCCAACTTCCTTCCATTGGGATTCGTCAATGAGTAGCCCATATTCTTTCAAGGATTTGTTTACATCGGAAATCC